CGCGGTGTATTCCGCGGGCACGCATGTGTGTTTGAGGCTCAGACACGTGTGTTTGAGCGCGCGCGTGCGCTTGATCAAGCCACAGGCAGCATGCTGCGGATGCACGTACGAGTGCTTCAAGTAAATGATTGTGTGTTCTTGGTGTGTTCCAGCTGACCACATCGGCGCGTTCCAAGTGAACACGCACTTTTTGCATGTGACCACATGAGTGTGTTGCACGTCAGCACATGTTTGTGTTCCAGGTGAAAGCATGCGATTGTTCTGATAAAACACATATGCGATCCGGTCAAAATTCCTAGTAAGGGGGTTTAGTCTACAGAGGCCACCGTCGCAGTCACTTTGTGCAGTTTTTCATTCACACAAAGCGGAGTCCTGCAAATACCAATGGATTGCCCGCTTCTCACTGGAGGCGCTAGGATGGCGCTTGGTTTGCGCTAGGGTCTTCGGTGATCTTGGTTTCCAAGAGTTGGCGCGTGGGTTGCCGCGATGGGCTTTGCGTGGCTTTCAAGGGTGTAATGTTGCAGTTCATACTTAGTACTTGAAGCCAGCCCGCACGTTTACCTTCATCTTACGTGGCCTTAATTTGTCAAATCCACACAGATGGTCGCCGTGACTCCAAAAAATACGGCGAACCCGCGCTAGCCGCGCGCTAGCAAGGCGCTAGCGCAGTGGTCAGCTGTGACCGGTTCCCAGTTACGCTTCAATCCAAATTTGCTTCCGCTCTCCTCGCATGCAATTATCATGGAGTGCGATTTGCTGGACAAAGGGGAGAAACAACGGCTGAGGCAAGACGGCAGGGATGCCTTGTACCGAGCATACGGAAGAATTGGGTTCGGGTTGCGTATTTCCCTGCGAAAGCGAATGCTTTACTGAATCGATACGAAGAGTTGCCACAATACGATCAAAGCACTTTAGCAATCGATACGAAAGACACTGTGCAGCTAAGCGAGAAAGAAGCGCAATGCGCCGGAAAGCTTTTGCTAAGCTGAAGCCTGTAACTGCTGGAGACGCATCCGATACCGATAGTACTAGCAGTAGTAGCAGCAGCAGCAGCAGCAGGCTCGCGCGCTAGCAATGTGTTGCAAAAAAGCTAGATTGATCGTACACGAACACTATTTTCCTACTTGGAACACGCATATAAAACCCAAGCGTTGTTCAAGGCAGAGCCCCATGGAATAGCGCCTCACAGCCGGCTTCGGGAACTTGATTTATGTGTCGCCCAGGCGTGCAGGAAATGTAAATTCCATGTGAACACATGTTTGTTGTCCAGGTGAACGCATGTGTGTTGCACATTTGTGTTGCACATGTTTCTCCACATGTGCACACACGTGTGTTCCATGTGTACACATATGTGTGTTACAAGTCAACACAGAAGTTTGTTTTGGTCAAACATGCTTGTGTGATCCAGGTCTGCACCAGTGTCGCACGTGAACACAAATGCCTGTTCCAAGTGAGCGCATATATGGGTTCCAGGTGAACACATATGTGTGTTGTAGGTGAACAGAAATGTGCTTTCCAGACATACACATATATGTGTTCCAGGTGTACGCATGTGTGTGTGTGTGCGTGTTCCGGGCGCGCATATATATATATGTGTGTGTGTGTGTTCGCGTGTGCACATATGTGTGTTCCACATGTACACATATGTGCGTTCACGTGCGCACATATGCGTGTTGCACGTGTACACATATGTGTGTTCACGTGTACACACATGTGTGTTCTTATCAGACACGTGTATGTGTTCCAGGAGAACACATGTTTGTTATCAGATGAACACGTGCGTGTGTGTCTGCTCCGCGTGCACTTTTTTGTATGTGTGTTCACGTGCACACATTGTGTGTTCACGCGTGCGCACATGTGCGTTCCAACTGGACACGTGTTTGTGTTCCAGGAGGACACATGTTTGTTATCAGATGAACACGGGTGTGTGTGTGTGTCTGCTCCGCATGCGCATGTGTGTGTGTTCATTTGCACACATATGTGTGTTCCACGTGCACACATTTGTGTGTTCACGTGTCCACACATGTGTGTTCCAATTGGACACGTGTTTGTGTTTCAGGTGAATACATGTTTGTTTTCAGATGAACGCACGTGTGTGTGTGTGTTCCGGGTGCGCATATATATGTGTGTGTGTTCACGTGTACACATATGTGTGTTCACGTGTACACACGTCTGTGTTCCAATTAGACACACGGTTGTGTTCCAGGAGAACACATGTTTGTTATCAGATGAACACGTGCGTGTGTGTCTGCTCCGCGTGCACTTTTTTTGTATGTGTGTTCACGGCACACATTGTGTGTTCGCGCGTGCACACATGTGCGTTCCAACTGGACACGTGTTTGTGTTCCAGGAGGACACATGTTTGTTATCAGATGAACGCGTGTGTGTGTGTGTGTCTGCTCCGCGTGCGCATGTATGTGTGTTCATTTGCACACATATGTGTGTTTTATATGTACACATTTGTGAGTTCATGTGTCCACACATGTTTGTTCCAATTGGACACGTGTTTGTGTTTCAGGTGAATACATGTTTGTTTTCAGATGAACGCACGTGTGTGTGTGTGTGTGTTCCGGGTGCGCATTTATATATATATATAAATATGTGTGTGTTCACGTGTACACATATGTGTGTTCACGTGTACACACGGTTGTGTTCCAATTAGACACACGGTTGTGTTCCAGGAGACCACGTGTTTGTTATCAGATGAACACTCGTGTGTGTCTGTGTTTTCCGCGCGCGCATAAATGTGTGTGTGTTCACATGTGCAGTACACATGTGTGTGTTCCACGTGTGCACATGTGTGTGTGTTCACGTGTGCGCATTTGCGTCTCCCACGTGTACACATATGTGTGTTCACGTGTACACACACAATTGGACACGTGTTTGTGTTCCAGGAGAACACATGGTTGTTATCAGATGAGCACACGGGTGTGTGTTCCGGGTGCACATATATGTGAGTGTTCACGTGTGCACATATGCGTGTTCACGTGTGCACATATGTGTGTTCCACGTGTACGCACATGTGTGTTCCAATTGGACACGTGTTTGTGTTCCAGGTGAACAGATGTGTGTTTCACGTGAACACATTAGTATGTGCTAGATGAACTTTCTTTGGCATCTGACGACATATTTGCTCTCCAGGTGTGCACATGTATGCGCTCCAGAAAACGCATGATTGTTTTCGAGGTGCGCGCATGTGTGTGCGATTTAGGTGAGCATTTATGTTTGCTCACGTGTGCGCATATGTGTGTTCCACATGTACACACATGTGTGCTTTAATCGCACACGCGGTGTTCCAGGTGGACACATGTTTGTGTTCCAGTGGTATACATATGTGTGTCCCACGCGTACACACATGTGTGCTTTAATTGCGCGTCTTTGTGTTCCAGGTGAACGCATGTGTGTTCCACGTGTACACACATGTGTGTCTGAATTGGACACGCGTTTCATTGTGTTCCAAGTGAACACACATGTGTGTTCCACGTGAACGCATTAGCGTGTCGTAAGTGAACACATATGTGCGTTCCACGTTTGCACATGTGTGTGTGTGCTTTCCAAGAAGCACATGTTTGTTTTCCAGCTCAACACATTTATGCGTGTGCCGCAGGTGAATGTATACTGTTTCAGTCGTATACGTATGTGTGTTCCACGTGTACACACATGTGTGTCTGAATTGGACATGTGTGTTTGAACTGCCCATGTGACTGCGTGCTTGCGCGGCCACACTTGCGTTCACGCGCGCGCGCTCGCCCGCCATCGCGCGCGCTTGCCCAACCTCAGTTCTGGCGCGGTGCTGAAGCGCGAAGCATGCCAGCAACACACGTGCAGCAACGCAACGCGCGCCAGGTTCACGACTGCATCATTTTGATTCATCCGTGTTGAAGCGCAGAAAGCCACAAGCTGTTGGCATGTTTGTGCTCGCCCGTCAGCCCTCAACTGTTTGGGGTCTCTGCTGGTGTAATTTTTTCTTTCGGGGGGGGTGGTTTCACATGGGTTCCATATCCCACTTGGAGACAAACCAATGTGTCACGACTTGGACTTTCTGCAACACGCGGAATTGTTCTGAAAAGGGCCAGGAGAGATCTGCGTCACATGTGCGCACTGGGTTTGAGCCGGCTCAGACAGGGCTTGTTAGTGCCATTTGTAGATTGTCATTCTCTCACTGCTGCCGGGTGAAGCCCGGACCTGTCAAGTGACCACGTCTTCTTTGAAGACTACCCTTCGTCCCAATTAATGCAGTTGCTGACATGAGCAATTCTTGCCCTTCAAACAATTACAGGCTTTTTATCTGGTATCAGACCTCAATCCGAAGAGTCAACACATGCCTGGGGTTGGGTTGGTAGGGATGGTCATGGACCTTTTAAGGCGTCTTTGACCATGGGAGTTTCTCACTATGGGAGGTGCGCAAAATGGCAAAGCCCGCCATAGGGGACACGATTTTGAGGAACAAGCATATGGCAAGTGACACCCTTTTCCCTCTGACTAATTCGGCGGGTTCCCCACCAAACATGGTCAATCCACACAGGGTTCCCAATTGTCAGGGTTGCTTCCACGAAGTTTCCCCAACGAGACAGCCGTAAGATGGGTTCCAACAGGCGAGACGGGGTTGTCACTTTAAGTGGCTGTATGCCAGTAAGTTCCTCTGGTGCCCACCGTCCCGCCAAAAAATCAAGCACCAAAACTAAGACAAAGGGAGGTGGACACCAATTTAGTTGGGGAAGCGTGACCATGGCCCGCAGATTTAGCGTTATGCAACCATGACTACGCCGTCCTGGCAAGAAGCTGCCAATACATCCAATGGTTCCCCTAGTCCCGATAGCTTCGGCTTGGAACCGGGAATCTTTTGTAGACTTCAGACTTGCTGAATTTCCAAGATCCGATCAAACTCATTCAGCCCCTTTCCATTTCTTTTTGGGAGCCAAGGAGCCAAGGAGCCAAGAGCCAGCTTCATTCACCATTTTTTTGGGCGCCGACTTCTCGTGAGACGCTCTTCGGGCAAGGCCTGGTGGCCTGCACTGCAGTCTTGGGCGCCTGCGGAAGATGCGCGCAGTGGCAGCTGGCGCTGCAGCTGCTGCCGCTGATGCGGCGGGGGGGGGGGGCAGCTGGGGCAGTTGGGCAGTTGGGCAGTTGGGGGTGGGGTGGGGTGGGGTGGGGTGGGGAGGAAGCCCCCCCCTTTTTTCCTTCTCCTCATTTTTGTTCTCATTTGTTGTATTTCGTTTTTGTTTGGCGAAGGGGGGGACAAACATGGGAAACAACATAAATGGGAGCAAAACAGAACCAAACTGGGAACACCATAAAATGGGGGGGGGGGGGGAAAACCCAGAACAAAATAACACGGGGGGGGGGGGAACAGAATCAATAAACCAACACAAAAACCCATCTTTCGGTTTCCCAGGCGCGCGCGGGTGCGCGTGGACGCCGTGGCCTTCAACCGGGCGCTGGATGCGCTGAAAGCGGGGGGGCGAGGTGTGGAGGCCCACCGCCTGCTATTGGCGATGCCCAAGGCCGGGGTTGGGGGTGGGGGTGGGTGGGGCTGGGCATGTTTTGTTCCGCAGGGACCTGAAGTTTAGGTTTGCCCAAAGGGGGGGGAAGTTGGGGATGGTGAAGTTTAGGATTGAGGGGGGGGGGGGGTGGGGGGTTGGGGATGGTGGAGTTTAGGGGTGTGGTGGTTTCTTGGATACAGAATGGCTGGGGTGTTGGGTATTGCCGCGGAAACCAGGAAGCCTCAAACAAAATAGGGAGATGGCCGGGTTTGAGGTGTGTCAGAAGGGCCTATTCAGAGTCTCATTTGAGGGGTTCTTTTTTTTTTGCCGGGGGGATAAAGGGAAACCGCGAATTGAGCTCTAAGCAAATAGGCAGGGATTTGGTGAAGTTCAACACCCGGGCCAACTATTCTTTTGGTATTTGGTGGACAGGTGGCCGGACACATCACTTAGGGAATGGGGTGGTCGATGGACTGCTCACAGTGTCCCAAGGCGTCTGAAAATATGTTGAACCTCTTTCTGGATGAGATTCGGGTTCTAACGGGATACGCAGGGGTGGTTTCCCTTTTTAAACAGGCCCAAAACAAAACAACAGACACAAGAACCAGGGAACCGAACCCGAGGTTTCCCATGGCTTTTGAGGGTCATCGAGTTGTGAGGCGATGTTGGTCCTGGAAACCCCTCACCATTTAAGAAAACCACGACTCTGAAACATAGGGAGAGAGCTGGAAACCATCTACAACCCGCTGACTTGTATCATTGTGAGTGCCCAAAGTGGGTTATATCAATGCTTACCGTATCCTTCAAGTATAAGCAGTCCCATTCCTGGGAGATCCCAAACAAAACCCCCCTCGAAGGATCGATGCTTGAGGCGAAGAAGGGGCAGCAGGTGGTTGCCTACAACACCACCATGGGGGCCTACAACTCCCAGCAGAGCTGGCAGCAGGCCCTTGCGCTATTCGCAGCGATGAATCGCCAGACCTTCAGACACAATGGGCCCGCGAACCGCCTTTTTTGGTTTGGAAGCCCAATGTTTTGGCTGAAGGAAAGCCACGGCTGCTTTGGTTGGGTTTGGAAGTGCTCAGGTTGTCTTTCAAAGGGAACCTCGGCCAGTTTGGTGGTGTGCTTCGATTTTTCGGGGAGCCGCCCTATTTGGCCGCGTCCTCTTTTTGAAGAGGGGGACCCACTGTTTGGTTGGCTTTAAAAGGAAGCCCAAATGAAACCCTTGCCACCCTTGTCTCGTGGTCAAAGCACAAATCCTGTGGGGTCTGGACAAGAGGGAACCATGCGACAAGACAGTTGAGTACCCAGGCTTTGGTTGCTTCATAGGGTTGAAATGATGCACAGGGGTTGAGCCATGATTCACTGGTTTTGATTGGTTGATTGGGGTCCGGAGTAGTAAAGTTTTGCTTCAACCAATGTGGATCTGGCTCACTTTTGGGGAGTTTGCCATGAATCCGGCAACCGGCAAGCCGAGAAGCAGTTCCGGCTTCCAGCAGCAACTGGTCAGGGAAGTGAGGCACTTATGCACTGGAGCCACAAAGACAGGGCTGGGTGTTCCATATTGGCGGCTTTGCCTACACGGTCCTTTTGTCCAGTGTTTCTTTGAGGGTACCCCTTCTGCGTTCAAGCGGAGCCAAAGAGAAAGCCGAAATCTATTATTAGGGCCCAACTCCTTATTTTGACACGCACCCAATCTGGTTTGACCCCCCTTGCAAAGGGCATAACCCCCCCTTGTTGGTTCGGAGTGGGAATCGCTGCTTTGCCACAAAACAAAAGGGAAAACCAACATCCATTTTTAGCACACCCCCCCCCCCGTTCCCCCCCGTTACAACAACAGCACTCTCAGCTATCGCTTATTCTCAAGCATTGTTGTCGCACTGTCCGAAACAGTCCAACCCCCCCCGCCCCCTCTTTTCACCGGGCCCCCAACAATCCGCGCGACGCCGGGGGTGGCAGCTGGTAACGGATAGCACTCCCGAACCCAGCGATCGCGGTAGTCCGCTTGCGGGGACCTTCATTGCCTTCGGCACCAAAGGCGTCTGCCCTCGGCTCGCAAGTTCCTCCTTGCGTTCCCAAACCCCTCCGGAATTCCTGCAAAACCACCCCGAATCCGGGGAAACCACCTCCCACGCTTTTTCCGCCGCGGAGCGAGCGCTTCGAGGACGCTGGCGCCCAGCTTGGCGAGCTTCCTCGAGGCTCTGAGGGCGCAGCGCTCAGGCCACCAGTGGCAGCAGGCCTTGGCGCTGAGGCGCCCGCTGGATTTTCTGCGGGGAAGCCACCGAAGCCTCTTTTATGGGTTGCTTTGGCTGAAAAATCGACCCCAACCTTTTGGGTTTGCCCTGGCGGTTAAATCATCTAGGGCCATCTATTTCCCCTAAAAGGACACCTATGCGGCCGGGCGAAGGCCCAAGCCTGGGAATTGGTACTTCTCAACAGGGATTTTAGAGAGCCAAAGTTCTGAAGGGGCCTCAAGCCGTGCATATCCCATGCAGGACCTTGGGGGGTTTTGGAGGGATCCCCTAAAAGCAGAAGCATTGGGACGGTTTTTGGTCCAACATGTATATTTTCTCTTTGGCATCCTTTCAAACCACCCTGAAGGGGGTGGGTGGGAACTGGCGCAGAGTAGAGAAATGGCATTGGGGTATGCCCTACCACACCCCCATCCACCCAGCCTCCAGTTGCCATAGAATCTGACAGGTTCGCTGGATACATTTTTTCCGCTCGACGGGCCTTTCCGGGTTCCATTTCTGCCACCTGGGGGCTGGAGGTACTGTAGCCAATTCTCCAAGTCACCCCGGAAGTGAGTGGCAGGTTCAAGGCAAGGCAATTGAGTTGGTTTGCAATGCAGGCTTTTGGATGTGTCCTCCTTCTATTCTGAGGGTAAGGCAGGGTGCACTATTTCACCATTGGCGAAAGGGAACCACCCCCCAGTTTCTGACTTGGATATCCCCCAGAAACAGTTCAACTCATCTGGGGCATATTTTTTTCCGCGGCGTCACGTTTCGGGCGGGTGTGCGACGTCACCCATGAAGGTTCCAGTCAAAAGCTTTGCCGATCTTTCGGCCGGATGAGTTCATGTGCCGTGCGGGGTGGGATTTCGATCCAGGCCCGGAAGGCTCTGGATGGAGGCCTGCAATGCTGCGCTGGCGGTGTGTGAGGCACGTTTGGGGCGAATGGGGCGACCTTTCGGGCGGGTGAAAGGAGCCGACCTGTGAATGGGGGAAACCGGGGGTTTGTGAGTCAACATCGGGAATTGGACTTTCAAGAATGTGGTTTTCTTTTGGTATCATCAAAAAACAAAAACGACACAGCCAAGCGGGTTTGTGTTGGATTCGTTTTCATGGTATCCAGTTTCAGTTTAAGGCTTTTTCGGGAAATCGGAGGCCGAAACCCGGAGAATGGCTTCCTGATCGCGGCGAGCACAGAATGGGCTGAGGGTTCTAAGAAAACGTTCTCAGAGACCAGTAGTTCCTTGGTGTTTACTCCTCTAATCATGAGGATGTTTGGATTTAAAGTACCCCACCGCCCGTTTGGAACTGTTTGCCGCATGTTGTGGGGAGCCTTCCCTGTACTTCCCAGGCGGCTGCCCAGTGGCAGCAAGCGCTCCACCTGGCAAAACAATTCGGGCGTCCCCACGCAGCCCTCGACCGCGTGGGGCAGAACACCCTCCTCAGCGCCATGGCACGAGGACGCCATGATTCAGCGGCAAACGGATTTGCGACGCAGGAAGGGAAGGGAGAAGGAAGACGTGGTCGGATGGTAAGAGGCCTCTCTTTTTCGCCAAATTGGGGGGGGACATTCGGATGCCAAACTTGGTACTTGGGGCCTACGGCTCGGCAAAGGGCGCAGTGGGTTTCCAGGTTTGTGTTGCACAGAACAGCTGGCGGCTCGCTTTCCCAAGCGGCTCCCACTTCAGCATGCGGCTGGCCCTCCTTTTTCTGAGCGCACAATTTGTTTGCTACTTTTTCCGCTGCACTAGAAGTGTTTGTCGCTGTCAGTTGGAGACATGAACATGTCCTTTGAAGAGCTGCTTTTCGTCGTCACAGGAAGATCTTTTGGGATTCAACCTGCGAGCAGGTCAGTTCTCTCAAAGCTTTCTGGCAACGCCAACAATCTGAAGCAAAAATGCCCAAGCCAACTGTGGCTGCAGCTGCCTTATGGGTTCCCCAACGACTAAACGACGCCGCCGGGGAGAGCCGGGGAGCGCAGCCGCGGCAAGCGCAGGAGGAGCATGGCAGAAGTGCCTTGAGCTCCTCAAGTCGGGCCTTCCGCCCGACGTGGTGAGCCCCCTGTGCTGTGAAAAAAGAGGGGCGGAGCGCAAATGTGGGCCATGAATCTTCAGGGGAACCACCCCAAAAGTGATTGGTGGACATGAATCTCCACCTAAATGATGTCCACCAAAGGGTCCCTTATTCAAAGTCATAGGCAGTTTGGTTGGAAAATCAGGCAGAGGTGCTCAACTTCCCTTTTTCGGAGCTTCAAAAGCGGCAATTTCAATGGAACCCACCAACAAATTACAACTCTTGAGGGGGGTGACAGGTGACAGGTCACCGGTTTTCACTCCGTGCAGAGTTCAAACTTGAGCATCCAGACATTTGAGGAATCTTTTGGATGTAAATGGTCAAAAGGATCCCATGGATGCCTTCCATTCTATGCAAGCAGTCGCCAAATCGGAAATGTTTGGCTCCACGGAGCGGTTGGATGCCTTTGGTCAAGGTTTCAGAGCGATTCGCAGCCGCAGGCGAAGGGTTCCCGAAGGGTTCCCGAAGGGTTCCTGAAGGGTTCCCGAAGGGTTCCCGAAGGGTGGTGGCCGAGAAACTTCACCCTCATCTTTTTTTTGGTCTCAGAAAAACAAGAGTGGAGCTTGCAGAGAGAGAGAGAGAGAGAGAGAGAGAGAGAGAGAGAGAGAGAGAGAGAGAGAGAGAGAGAGAGAGAGAGAGAGGGGGGCGGGCAGGTCTTCCAACAGAACACGGCCAGCTCCTGGGTTTACCCACCCGCCCCCCCCCCCCCCCTTCATCCGCCTTGATCGGCCTGGCGGACGGCTCGATCGGATCGGATCCGTCGAGGCTTCAACAGCGCGCTGCGGGGCCTCGAAGTGGCGCGGTGCTGGGACAAGGCGCTGGCGCTGCTGGCGGCCATGCCAGGCCGGAGCCGGAGGGAGATGCCCGTTGGGGGTGACGTTCTGGAGTCCCAAGCCATGGTTGGTGGGAATTACCAGAGGCGCATAGAACCATTGAATACCCATCTCTGTCCAGGAGGGGCCGTTTGACCATGCCGCTTGAACGTGGAGCTCAGATCGGATTTTCGCACCTGGAGGAAGACTGAATGGTTGACAAAGCGTCAATAACTGGTGCCGTGCCGGTCGAGCGTGGGATTTCTCTCAAACCGCTGTCCGTTCCCAGCGCCCAATGTGATCTCCTTCAACACCGCGATCAGCGCCTGCGCAGACGGAGAAGGCGGGAGGCCCGCTGCGCCCGGCGCTTGCCTCCGGGTCCCGAAACTCCGCAACAAAAACCTGGACATTGGTGGTTTCCTTCTGGCTTCGCCTTGAAAGCAAGAAAAAGGGGGGTCCCCAGAAACAGACCTCATTGGCATCCTTTGGTGTACCTGTTCACCTGCAAGCAAGAACAACACAAGAAGAGCAGGGATTTGCCCGTTTGTGGACACCCCCCATTCTTTCAAGGGTTGTCGTTAGTGGCACCAGATGTCCACGCTCAGCGTCCTATCCGAGTGTACCCTTTTGGGGTGGCTTTTGAATTGGAAGCCGGCCAACAACTTGTTTGGGCCAGATCTTTCGACGCCTTTCTCTTTGGCCTTTTCTGATGGGTCTTGTCTTTGGGAAGCAGGAGGAAAGAAAGACCCGGGATCCCTTTGCGACCTGGGTTCCAAAAGTCTTCTTCAGAAGCTTTGCAGGGGGATCCCTCTGAATCAGTTGGCGAAGGCAAAACCTTTTATTCACCCAAATGTATCCTTTTACATAACCCTGCCACATCCAAAGTGCTGCCCTGGAGTGAGCACGCCTCGAATTTCTTATTGTGTGTTTTGCATGCAGCCGGCAGACCCGGAATGTTTGGCCACGTCAAAGAGTTTACTTGCTGGTTTCCTGATTTGGGAGGCATGAGTTCATGCGTGTCTGTGTCTGATGGGAAGGGTTGTCAAAGCACTTCATTTCGGAGTAAACAAGCACGCCAGAGCTCGCTGCTTTCGCAGTGAGCCAAGTATGGCTGTGGGTCAAAACCAATGGTACCATTTTGGGGTAGGTGCACCACCCATTTTAGTCTATTTTTGTGTGGATTGGGATATTCACTGGGGGTACGATTTGGATTTTGACTCATGGCCCTTTGGCGTGGTTTGGCTATGGATCTTGGCCCACTTCCTCAGAGGTGGCCTGAGGGTGTCCACAGCGCTCTTTGCCCAGGAGATCACTGGCAGTGGGCGCTGGTACTGCTCGAGCGCCTGCAGGCTTCGCTGGCACCGGACTGCTCTTCGAGTCGAATCGCGGATCTACATACTGTACATGCATACATACAAACATACATACAATACAATACAATGTAATGAATCCAATGCAATGCAATGCAATACAATACAATGCAATACAGTACAGTACAATACAGTACAGTACAGTACAGTACAATGCAATACAATACAATACAATACAGTACAGTACAGTACAATACAATACAGTACAATACAATACAATGCAATACAATGCAGTACAATACTGTACATACAAACAAACAACATACAATACAATACATTCCATTACATTACATTACGTTACATTGCATTGCATTACATTACATGAAATTACATGCAATCAAATTACGTTACATGAAATTTCATTACATTACATTACATTGCATTGCATTGCATTGCATTGCATTGCATTACATACATACATACATACATACATGCCTACATACATAGATACATACAATACAATACAATACAATACAATACAATACAATACATTACAATACAATACAATACAATACAATACACATACATATATATATATATATATATGCATGCACACATGCATGCATGTATACATACATTCATACATTAATACAGTCATACATACATACATACATACATACATACATACATACATACATACATACATACATTCATGCATTCATGCATTCATGCATTCATGCATTCATGCATTCATGCATTCATGCATTCATGCAGTCATGCATTCATGCATTCATGCATTCATTCATTCAGACATACATACACACATACATACATACAGTCATACATGCATGCATGCATGCATGCATGCATGCATACATACATACATACATACATACATACATACATACATACATACATACATACATACATACATACATACATACATACATACATACATACATACATACATACATACATACATACATACATACATACATACATACATACATACATACATACATACATACATACATACATACATACATACATACATACATACAATACATACATGCATACATACATATACGCATGCACACATGCATGCATGTATACATACATTCACACATTAATACAGTCATACATACATACATTCATACAGTCATACATTCATGCATTCATGCATTCATGCATTCATGCATTCATTCATGCATACATACATGCATACATACATGCATACATACATACATACATACATACATACATACATGCATGCATGCATGCATGCATGCATGCATGCATGCATACATACACATATACACATATACATACACATTCACACACACACACATACACATACAAAGACATACCTACAAAAAATCATGGATCCTGGTCAGAGTCCTTCAGGACCTGATCAGCTTCAACGCCGCGTTGGCCTGCGCTGCCGCGGTGGGGTTTAGGACGCCCTGGCGAGCTGTGCTGGTGCTGGTTGAGGACGACCGTGGGGGATGCCACCCGTGGGTTCCCGAAGAACGAACTTCCATCTGCTTAAGAGTATTTGTTTCCCGTGTTGGTTTTAAAAAGGAATTTATCGCTACTGGAAAAGTATTTTTTTCTTTTTCCCTCCGAGGGGTCCTAACCAAATGGAAGATAAGACCACACCCACGGGCCAAGCCTGCAGTGACTCTTTCCCGGCAGCTTCTTCGGCGGCAACGGGGTCCACAAGTAGCTACCACAATTTGCAATGCCAGAAGAATTCCCAGTTGGGGGGTTGGGGAAATTCGCGTCTTCTTCGGGGGCACAAGGATCCGAACATGAATTGGCCATGTGTTTGACAACGCCAAGTTGTGCGAGCAGGCTTTGCTTGACTCTGCTTCTTGACAGAATAGGTCGGCATGCAATCGCCATCATTGAGTCACTGCCTTGGGGCAACCAGTTCCGAGGTTTGAGGCGGTGATCAAACCTGTTGGTTTGTACCACATTGGCATTTCAAATCGAGACCTTATGCTTGGAATTCCCGAAACATCTCGAAATTAAGTGGCACGTGTCCTTTGCTGAGGGAAACCAACCGAGCAAGCACCATTTGTTGAATCCGAAACCGATTTTTGAGACACCCTCAAGTGAAAGCTGACGGTCTGCTGCCTGCATCGATTGGGATGGACGGAATGCTGGGATAAGCTGGATAAGCCACTTACCAACTCATGCAGTGTGCAGGATTTTGTCCATCCACAGTTGCATGGTCCAACAAGAGACCCAAGTGCCTGTCTGCGGCATCCGAAACTCTGTGGCTACCACTCAAGAAATTCCGGAGGAGAATGGTTAAAACTAGATGGCACTGGTTTAGATGGGTTTTCCATTTACCAGGGCCATCCATTTTTCCAAAAGGCCACCTATGGATGGAACTCTTGCGCTGACACTTCTTACCAGCTTGTGTATAGAATGACACTCATAGCACTCCTGACCCCGCCAACAGCAATGGCAGATTCTACAGAAGCAAGTCAACCCATGCCAAGCTACTTGGGTTCGTCAAAACGGGCAACCCCAAAAGCGTTTCTTTTGGCTTCCCATTAAACGAACCCGATTGAGTATTCTTGGGGGACACAAGTGCCTGTGGATTTACACCAAAGGGTACCCAATGAACATTGCTCGTCTGCAGAAGTTCCGGCCGCGAGACGCGCATCTTGCCTCAGGCTGCCACAGTCAACTGGCCTCTTTGCTCTTGAGGTTGGACTCCTCCAGCCCCTAGGTGTCAATTTAGGTCACCTTGGTCGAACATATCATATATTTCTATATTTCACTTCTGGCTTTACTCATGTACCATCTGTTTGTTCCTCTTGGAGTTTCTTGGCCCGCTAGAACTACGACTCTTCTTCCCCAGAATTGGCTCTTTTTTCTTTTTTGCTTTTTTGGGGTCCCTTTGTTTTCCACTAACCAGGCAAAAAATGTAATTTGTTGCTGGGGTTCTAATTCCAGCCTAGTCTTGGGTCTTTGAAGGTTTGAGCTTCTGCCCAGTTTCTGGCGAGGAGATGGCGTCTTTGTCGCTGGGCGATGGCACCACCCTCTCCACGGCGCTCACTGCCTTAGCCTCGGCCTCAAAGTGGCGGCAGATGCTGCGGCTGGAGGTCGGGGGCTCAGACCGCAGACCCATGACGGGGGTTCAGCGGGTTCTACACGAATTGATTCCCATGGGGTTCAAACCCCCACGAAAGCGAAAACGGGGGTTCTCATAGCCAGAGCCATCGTTTACCTTGGGATTGTGGTCACGCAAACTGGGTCCTTGCCATTCTTTTAATGGGGGTTGAACCCTAGGGGTTCCGATTTGCACCAAAGGACAATGTGGAAAACGCATAGAATATTTGTGCTCTCCATTTGGGCTGCTCAATGGGCTAAGAAACCGGGTGGTGTCCCAATAAGGATGCTGGGGCGACCTGTTTTTCACCCTTCAAACTTGTTCTTCTAACTGCTCGGGAACCCGGGAGCCTGCTTTTTCACCCTCGGCCCGGGTGAAGCCCAACCCAAACCAACCCAAGGCCCGCCCCAAGCCAACCCTAAACCGCTCTAGGCCAACCTTAAACCAACAAACAACCCAGCCTTTATCAACCCTAAACCTCTTACACGCTGAACCCACCCCAAGCTAGCCTTGACTCAGCCCTATACCCAGCCGAAACCAACCCAAGCCACCCCTAAAACCTAAAGCAATCCATCCCGCCATAAACCAACCCCGAACCCACCCTCCTATCCCCAACCCGAACTCAAGCTCAACCAGCCCTAAGCTAAACCGACCCCAAACCACCCCTTCTCCGAACCCCTGCTTAGAAGGCTCCTAACCTTTATTGGGGCGTTGCCAATACAAATTGACCACACTTGAAGCCCCCTTTCCGTTTGTTCTTGCCATCTCTTTTTTGAAAGGCCCAACACCCTTCCCTGGCTCGTTTCCGATATTCTCTTGAAAGAGAGTGCCACATGCTCAGAGAGACAGACTGAGTTTTGAGCTATCCTGCCATCCCTTCTCAGTTGTACCCTTTTTCTTTCTGGGTGCCAAGCATCGAATATTTCTTGTTTCCCCCAAAGGAGCCCTATATAAGGAGATGGGCAGTCTTTTTTCAATTTGTCCAGCCCCCCCAAATGGTTGTCTCAAAATAGGGGACCTTTTGAAGCACCCCCACAATTCATGGTGTCCCTTTGGTTTCTTTTTCAAGGACCCCCAAAATTAGTGGTTGCCCTTTGGTTTCCTTTTGAAGGACCCCCAAATTCGTGGTTTCCCTTTGCTTTGAATCAATCCGAAGACACACCCACTTTAGCCAGGTTTATTGAACGACCCTCAGGCCGCTGCCGCTGGTCCCTTGGAACTGCCGGCGTACACAGCCTTGGCCAGAGGCGCCGAGTGCGCCGGCGCGCCGGCGCTCGCCCGCGCGCTGAAGCCAGTGGCCGCGGAGGAGCGCGTGGGCTTCGACGTTGGAGTGGTGTTTTTTGTGCGGACGGCGGAAGGACTTGATTCGAAATGGCGAGGAATCTGGAGCTCGCGCCGTCTTTTGCCAAGGTTTGGATTTGAACCCTCGCCACGTCCAGGGTTCAAATCCAAATTTTGACAACGCGAAGGGTACCCTCCCAGATCAGGAGCCTTTTGGATCACTTTTGCTTTGGAAAGGGACCTGGGTGCAGAAATGTTTTTCATGGTCCTGAGCAGAACGCCGCGTGAAATGTGGTTAAATGGTTGTCCAGGTGTAGTGCAAAGGGCTTGTGAAGGGGACTGGTTGTTGGCAAGCTTACTAGGGCCACCGCAAAACAGGCCGTGCAGGCACAGGTTTGTGTCAGGCACATGTCATGTTTGGTAGCTGCTTACTGACTTTCATGAGCTTCTCAGGGTTAGAGCCAGGAGAAAAGGACTGCGGGTGACCTAAAGCCCAAGCCCGGGCTACAATTAAGCGCTTCATCCGGCCCTTGGCTCGCAACTCCTATCTCTCAACCCGCAGGCGCGACGCTTGCTGCGCGCCGGTGAGATGAGCGCTGTCTTTGGCGCGCCGATCCCGCCGCTCGGGCGAAGTGGGCGGCGGGTGAGTGCAAAAAAATCCGTGGTTTGGAACGTCACTACTAGAGAACCCTACACAGGCAAATCAATCCACTACCGCAATGGCAATCATGTAGCCCCACGGAATAGGGACGAGCCTTTGTTTCAAATGGCCTCGGAATTGGAGCGCGCGTGCGTGCGTGTGTGCGTGCGTGCGTGCGTGCGCGCGTGCGTGCGTGTGTGCGTGTGTGTGTGTGAGAGAGAGAGAGTCAGTGACACGATGTCAACTATGGCCAGGTTTTGCTTGAATTGTATGGCCGTGGTTCAGTCTTTCGAGGGGCCCCGTGGTTTCCAAAGGAAACCAAAAGGAAACCCATCATTTTGGGGGTCCGAGTCCTTGTCTTGGAACATACCTGTTTGGCAAGCTATTGCTTAAAATGAACGCTCCAACGACCAAGAAACTTGGAGCACAGTGCCACGCTCGGTCGACTTCAACAGAGGTGAGAGACCCTGGGTCTAGGTTTGCCTTGAATGCGATGGTGGTTGCCTTGTTGGCTTGCCCGAACCATCGGGGGAACATTGCGCCTTCACAAACTAACATGAACCTCGCAATTTTCAAACGGCTAGACCATTGCCAAGCGTGTGAGGTTCGCAGCCGGTAGCCTCGCAGGCATGTTGCCGGGCCAAGAAGGCAGGTCTCTCGCGGAGGAGTCGCAGGGAAAGGAGTCGCAAGAGGCATTTTTGGTCAATCTAGTTGTCTCTTGATTGAGAAATGCTTGATTGGTTTGGGTTTGACAAACTATATAAAGTATCGCAAATTAGATGTTCTTTTCGGTCAGTTTGATTATGTGCCTTTTGTTTGTCCAAAAGGACACTTAGGGTTAGCACGCCCTGAATGAAAACCCCGGATCGACAGGCAAGCGCCGCCCCGCCCTGGAACGGTTTTTCACAGCTGTTTTGAGAGGCCTTTGCCAGAAGGTTCTAAGGACCCTGCTTGGGAGTTGGGGGTGGGGGGGTGGCCTGGAGGTTGGTGAAAGATTTTGTCTGTGCGTTCCCAGTTAGCACCCCTGGTTGATTCACGTGGTTGTCCCATTCAAGAGGGGATCCGACCCTATTGATCCACCAGGTTGAAAGATCTGGTGGACATTGCAAGGAAGATTCTCCGAAACCTTTGTAACCGCTTAGAGATCGAGGGGCCGGTCTGCAGGGCGTCACCCGGGTTCTGAATGGATGGTGCGCAAGGCTAAATCGATTCTCGATTTGGGTAGTCTTTTTGAGGATGCCCTTTTCGGGTTGCTAAAATAAAGGACGCCAACAGGAAGAGTTTTCCATGTTCGGGGCTTCTCCTCCATTTGCTGTCCCTTGGTGTTTCTGGCCAGTCCCTTGGTGAGAAAAGTGTGGCGAGTCTATTGCTGGTTTGGGAAGGGGTCTTTGTGTGCAACACCGTATGGGTATGGGTCTTCTTTTTTTTCTTCTTTTGTTTTTTTTAATATATGGACCACAGGTTAAATCGTCCATGTTTCCATTTACCAGGGTTCCGTTTTGGGTACCTATTGTTGACCCACAGCCATATTCCGGAAGTGTTCCATGTTTGAAATACCCCAAGTTATAGACAAAACCCATGTTGATCTCCACAAGAGGGGAGCCGATTGGCTTTAGATCTGCCTCAGCCAAACATCGGGGGGAGCCTGTATTTCCGTGGGCCATTAAGGCGTCATGCCTTGCCGCATTTTTTTTTTCCGGGCCAGAGGTTAGGCACAGGAGATGAGAGGTCGCGGCACGCCTGCGAGCTTTGGATGCAGTCCTGGCAGTTTAGCAAATTGGCATGTTTGAATTTGGTGGATGCCGGTTCCCGAACATCTCTTTGAAGAGGTATTTGCCAGATCTGGTCAGATCTTCAGCGGGTCTGTTTACACCTTGACCAGATCTTAGAAGAAGTGATTCCGGTGTCATCCAGTGAAGTCTTCAGCCATCCACATTCCATTCAATCTGGTCAAAGATCATGGCAAACCAAAAGTCTGGGCTTGTTTTCCGAGAACGCCCGGTGCCGCACGAGTTTGCTCGAGTCCGCTGCCTTTTTGCCGCTTTGTTGGAGATCGGCACTGCTCGGCCTAGGCGCGCGGTGCGCGCCTGCGTGGGCGCTGACCAAGCAGCTGCAAGGCCAAATGTGCGGAGCGATTGGCGACGTGTTGGGGGATTGACATGGAACCCCAAGAAGCATCCGATTTTGGAGGCATCTCTCTCTCTCTTTTTGGGGACAGGATGGCACAGGCAACTTTTTGAAACCCATGGGCAAGAGCCATAGGCGCCGCGCAGTTTACGAGGAGCATCATCAACAAGCTGTCACTTGCCACTACCAGATGGGTTTGCATTGAAATGGGGCAGCCCTGAAAATGGGCGTTTTTGCCTTGGGTTTCTCTCTTCTCCAAGAAGTATCCAAAGCTAAGGGGGGAACGGATTTCTTTTTGCCCGAATGGCATTGAGAAGCGTTTGCACGATTTGTTCTCCAAACGCGGGCACCGGCGAACGGTCTCCCTGCGCATTTCCCGCCCGATACTCGCCCCATCGCTAGGTTTGACCCGTCAGATTCGTCCAGAGCGACAGGAAGGCTTCAGCCCAGCGACAGGAAGGCTTCAGAAGATTTCTGGAACCCCTGGAACCCCTACGGCTGGAACCGCTACAACTGCTGGAACCCTAAAGCGGAAGTAACCAAAGCGCCAAGGCCTGTGCCGAACCCCCGGGAACCACAGATGCACAGTCGAGGACCTACTCAATGGGGTTCCCCAAAAAAAAGAAGAAGAGGCTTTTGTACGGAGGCTTTCGGCTGGTTTCAAAGGAAAGCCACAGGAAAAAGCCAAGAATTTGTTGGTCGCCAATTTTTGGACCTCCACTTTTCTGCGCCCCTTTGAGCCAGTGGTTCAATTCCTTCCGCGTCCGGCAATGCCTATATAAGCCTTGGAACCATCTTAGAACCCAAAGTCCCAGGGTTTGGGCGCTGGCACTGCCTTCCGGCCAGGTGGCAGTGTGAGGCAGATGGTTCTTCGGCTTGGCATTAAGCGACGGATATTTCGAGTGCTACCTTCCAATTCCATTCTTTCCAGGGATCCTTATTTCCAGAAAACCTCCAGAAACCCAGGGAAACGGCCGGTTTTTGATAGGAATGATGGTTGAAAGGAATGGAAACGGACTCAACCCTTAGAATATTGCTTGCAGGTTGTTCAATGCCCAACGCGACATCATTTGAGGAATCTCCTGGGAGATGGATCCGGTTCGGGGCTCCGTCAATTTGGCCTGGAGACCCCTATGGCTTTGGAGACCTTGGGGCTTCAGCATTCATAGAAACCGGCAGGAAGTTCCTTTTGGAACTCTAGGCAAATACCAATCGCAACCAGAGCTCGCTGGCTTAGATCCAGCTGACAGATCAACATTGTTCGCATGGCGCGAGGAAAGGAACCTCAGGCAAGAGGCACAGGATGTTTTGAGCCTTTGAGGGATCCCCAAAATACTTCGCCCCAAGGACATGTATTCGGGTGGAATAGGGCGACAACCCTGTAAAGCGAAGGTTACCCTTTAAACTGAAGCCTCCAGAGATATTCCATTTTTGCACCTTTTAGTTTTGGAGAGAGTTCATTTGTAGCCGACGCGACGTAGGCTGGACATTTCCGCAGGAACAGGGACGGCAAGAGCTTCTGAAGGGTGTGCCAAAAAATATGGGTCCCAAAATGGGTTGTGCTTTCCCAACAGCCGTCAGCTGGAACCTTAAGCGGGCCCTCAAAAGCAACAAATAATGTGTTGCTGGCATGTGACATGAGTATCAGAACTTAGGCTAGGCATATGTCGGCCCAGCGTGACTCGAAGAAAATCGGTTTGGATGCGCCTGTGGATTCCACCTCTTCTTTTTTTCTTCTTTTTCCTGGGTGTGCTTTTTTTGAGGGTACTCTGATGACCTTGAATTGAAGGGAAACCAGTTGAAACACCCACCCGTTTCTTGTTTGGTCCCACTGTTATGATGCATGCACCCCTGTTGGTTCAATTTGGTGAGCTCTTTCAAAATCCTGGGGTGGAAGTCTCACGAGAGTTGTTCAAAGAGGGCCCTTGCCTTTCGGGCGAACTGGAGTGTGCTTTCCCTTTCACCTACCACTTTGAGAGTGGCAAACACATAGGAGACAGTTTTTTTTTCTCCCAGGGTTAAAGACAACTTAAACACTGAACTTTGCTGATTTGTTCAAACCCACACTTTTCAACATTCAAACTGTTGCTCACTTCCCAAGTTCCTTTGTTTTCCGTACTTGTTGGGTTTGGACCATTCTAGGGCCAAACAAAATGCTAGGACTTGACTTGTTTCACCCAATCCACTCAGGAAATGAGGTTATTCCCCAACCGCCCGGTGGTTGCTGGAATCCAAGGCTGAAACCTTTTTTTTTAAACCACGGGCTCTCACAGTACAGTTTTCAAGGGGGACGCATGACTGGAACTCGGCCATGTGAGGTTTGTCTCCAATTGGGGGAACCCGCAAAGGGGCTGTTGTCCGGTTGGTTTGGTTTCCCGTGCTGCGTATCCAGGGGCCACTCTGCCCCCCCAGTGCCTCAACTCGAGTCAGGTTGGCGCTTTCACCCACCAACCCCATCAGTGAAATTTGGCCTCTCGGTCCGCCTGATCGTCAAGGTGATCCTCCAAAAAGCGACTGATTTCAGGGAGCCCGCATGTTTTGAGTTGGCGCCAAGTTTTCTTCGTTCGTAGTTGCAAAAGGAAACCAAAGGGAAGACAAAGGGAAACCCAACGGACACCGAGCGCTTCTCTCAGGCGCTGCGCCCGTCAAGCGCGCGGGAGCTCCTGGAGAGGCGAGCTGAACCGAGCGGCAAAGCGGCGTCGGGCAGCTTCGGCGGAGTCCGAAAGGGGAACCAGCCTTGACGACCCACACATTTTGAACGAAGGCAAAGGAACCAATTTTAGGGCTTGGCTCAGTGCCACATTTTGTAAGGCAACATAAGGAAGGGGTCCGAATCAACGGATCACGGGAAGTGTATCAATGCACCATTTGCCAGAGGAAGTATAGGAAGCCCCACGCGGTCAATGTTTGCGCTTGGTCGGAACGGAAAGCGGGGTGGTGTTTACCATTCTTGTGTCTTGGGTATCTTCTATGATGTTGTAACAGACCTCATTTGGCCCCCCAAGGCCAGTTGCCGGGCCTTCCTTTTCAAAGCTCCCATGGCCTTGGCAAAACATTGAGCCATGGTTGACATTTGTGGCCCTCTGGTTTTTGGGCCAAAAAGCCCGGAGTATGACACGGGTTCGCTTGGTTAGCTGAGAATGGCTTGAAGAGTGCGCGGGGACGCGCTGCTTGCATCGCCTTCCATGCAGGTCGGTGACGTGGGCCTATTTTTGCGGATTTCTGGGATGCATTGGGATGTCAATTTTACTTTGTATATTTGACAATTTAACCAATTGTTATCCATCTTGCCACATGGTCAATTTAGGGCAATCGAATAAGGCAAGAAACACTCACATTTTTTTTAATTTTTTTTTAAACCCGAAGCTGACTGCAAAAAAAACAGCCACCAGCTTTCTGCTGGAACCCCCCTCCACCAAAGGAAGGCCTTTTCTTTGGGGACAGGTTTTCCCTAAGCCCAAGCCGGGCTTCATTTTCTTGCATCCACTTCGCCAGGCCGGCCTCGTGGCTGAAAGGGCCAAGGTGCGGTTGGCGGTCCTCTGGTGCAAGCTGGAGCCGGGTTTATTGGAATCCGTGGGTGCCCTGAAGAAACATCAGGGAGTTTGAGGTGTGGCTGAGTTGTTTAAAAACTGTGCCGATTTCGTGTGGCTGGCCCAGTGTGTTTGAAACCCATGGACGATTTGAGGGCCTTTCCACCATACGATGCAGCATGTCTCAACAAACCTCAAAAGCATCTGCGTAGGTTGCCAGGATTAATGTAAAGGGAGCCATGACCATGAAGCATCTACCGGATATTGTATCGACTGCTCACATTCAACTAGAAAGTCACCCTTATCTGGAGGTTTGGATAGGAATTCAACCCATTTCTTGAGTGCCACATAGGAACGCCTAGCCTCAAAATGCGAAATCCAAGGCTCTTCGGCTCACGGGACGTGGCCAGTTTAGCTCAAATGGTTCCAAATGTCCTTTGCACCAATCGGGGACCAGGGGTTGGTTGATTTGGAACCAACCCGAGGCCAATTGCCCAATTGTCGATCTTCGATCTGCGCAGGCCGATGACAGCAAGGCTCCGCACTTTTCGCGCGCAAAAGCAGCGGAGCAGCGTGGGGCAGGGGCAAGTGCGGCGGGTTAGGGGGGGGGGCTGGGATTTTGGAGCTCCCCAATATTTTTTCTTCTCGTGGATTTTCAACATCGCCTTTGGCAGTTTCATGTGAGTTGTGTTTTTGGTCGGGTGATTAAGAAGGAAATTTGGGATGGTTCTGGGAGTCGGCTCGCTTCTCAGCCTCCTGCGGGTTCTTATTTTCAATTCCCAGGTGGACTACAACCCAGGATTTTTTTTTGAGTCAAAAACAAACACCGCTGGGTTTAAGTCTACCTTTACGTATTCCTGTCCTTTGCGGGAAGGCTGCGGGCGTGTGCAGTGATCCGACGTGCGGGTGCATGCCAAACATCGAGTACAGTTATAGCTGGGCTTATGTTTTTTGAGGGCTTCTTTTTCAGGTTGCCTAGGGAAACCAAAGAAGGGAAAGACAAAGCCCATGGGTCCAAATCCCTGTGTTGAGAGGTAGGCCCTTCGGACATTTGCGTCTCCGAGTCACGCTCAAAGCCCATAAGATTCGCCCGGAGACCGCAGTCCCGCCGACCCCGCCGTTTCTTAGTTGGGTTCAATGTGTTTGTTCTGTTGCTCTTTGGTCGATTTTATTTTCGGCTCAGGTTGCTGTAGCTAGCCTTGTCTCGGAAAAGGCGAGGATGTGAAGAGTCGACATGGCGTCGCAAGCTCTGATGAAGCTGGAGGAGCGACGTTTTGCTTTCTAGCCGACATGTGGAGCGGACGGTGGAGTCTTCTTGGTTTCCTTATATCATGGGGGTCTGACACCCCTAGAATTTACGTCCCTCCTGGAAAGAAGAAGTGGGGCCAACAGGTGGTGTCTTACTCAACCCGAAGTGAACAACCCCAAAACAGGGGGTTCCTCAAAAGGAGACATTCAGTTTCATGAGATGTGCAGTTATTTGGACCACAGAAGAGTGGGGACCACAGAAGAGTGGGGGGTGTGGCCACACCTCGGAACTGCATGTGGAGCTAGGATGAATTCTGAGAGGAAGCTATGCGATCCCCCTGTGCATGATTTGCCATTTGTTTCTGGACAACGCACATATTTGCAGAAATTTGATTGAAATCAAACAAGACCACTCACGCATACCAATATGATATATATATATATATATATATGTGAGTGAGTGAGTGAGTGAGTGAGTGAGTGAGTGAGTGAGTGAGTGAGTGAGTGAGTGAGTGAGTGAGTGAGTGAGTGAGTGAGTGAGTGAGTGAGTGAGTGAGTGAGTGAGTGAGTGAGTGAGTGAGTGAGTGAGTGAGTGAGTGAGTGAGTGAGTGAGTGAGTGAGTGAGTGAGTGAGTGAGTGAGTGAGTGAGTGAGTGAGTGAGTGAGTGAGTGAGTGAGTGAGTGAGTGAGTGAGTGAGTGAGTGAGTGAGTGAGTGAGTGAGTGAGTGAGTGAGTGAGTGAGTGAGTGAGTGAGTGAGTGAGTGAGTGAGTGAGTGAGTGAGTGAGTGAGTGAGTGAGTGAGTGAGTGAGTGAGTGAGTGAGTGAGTGAGTGAGTGAGTGAGTGAGTGAGTGAGTGAGTGAGTGAGTGAGTGAGTGAGTGAGTGAGTGAGTGAGTGAGTGAGTGAGTGAGTGAGTGAGTGAGTGAGTGAGTGAGTGAGTGAGGGGAGGGAGGAGGGAGGGAGGGAGGGAGGGAGGGAGGGAGGGAGGGAGGGAGGGAGGGAGGGAGTGAAGGAGTGAGTGAGTGAGTGAGTGAGGGAGGGAGGGAGGGAGGGAGGGAGGGAGTGAGTGAGGGAGCGAACGAGCGAGCGAGGGAGCGAGGGAGCGAGGGAGCGAGGGAGCGAGGGAGCGAGTGAGGGAGGGAGCGAGGGAGCGAGTGAGGGAGGGAGGGAGTCTTTCGGCGGGGCCACCCGAAAAGGGGACCTAACACGATGCCAGAAGGCGGATGCGTGAATGTACATAACCCCTCCACATGGAACCCACCAGGTCGCTGTTTGCGCTGGATGTACGCATCGACTGCTTAAAGAAGCAGACACAAGCAAGAGGCACAATCCGCAAGATATGACGGGGGAACCCGGTCAGTACTGCAGCGAAGCAATGCGTACTTGGAGTAGGCTTGCTAAAAAGTCCAGATGCACCCGTAGCTGGCTAGGGTTTGGGATGGGCATGAGTGATCAATCCTTTCAGTGAAAGGTCTCCAGCCCAGGGCCGTGTGCTCGGCCGTGTGTTTGGCCACAAAGGAAAGGGAACCAGAGGGAGCAGAAACACATAGTTGCATAGGCAAACATGCGGAACCGCAGGAAAACATAGAAGAGTTATAGGAACACAGGGGAAAACCCATAGAGTTATGTTTCCATAGAAGAGTCATGGGAACACATAGAAGAGCCAGAGGAACACACAGGGGAAAAAAACATAGGGGAAACCCGCCGAAACCAACCGCTTCAGGAGGCTCGGGAGTCCCTGGACTTCCCGAGCCTCGGCAAGCAGGCGTGGCCGCGGAGGTTCTGGCACATGGCCTCGGGTTGCTCCTGGGGTTTGAGGGGTGGTTTGTACTTTGTTCTCTCCTCTTCTTTTTGGGGCGGGAGGGGGAGGGATTTCTTGAAACCGGTAAAAGAGGGTGCTCGCGGGCCGGAAAAAAGGGACTTGTGCACTTCCATGTTTGTTGAGATGGGCAATTCACACCCACTTTTCCTGCAACCTTGAAATGAAAGCCTCATGCTTCCTGCCCAACCACTTCCTCAAAGGACTAGTCGAATCCTTCCATCCTTTTGGGGCAGGCCCGAGGAAATAGGGCATTTGCCTAAACAATGCACTTGTTGAGTCCTGCAAACGAGGCAATGATGGCGGTCTAAGCCGAAGGTGAGCCGTTTTCATTCATTCGCGGAGTCCTAGACGCCTCGCAACCCGCTGTTTTCTGTCCGGAAGTTTTGCAACACCGATGCCAAAGCAGGCGGTCAGAGGGAAGCTGCCAACATGCCATTTTCACCAAGATGGCGAAGGTTTGCTTTATTGATCTTGACCCGGCTTTCCGGCGTTTAGCTTTTGGCTCCTGCTGCTTGTTGGCTTTGCGACGTTCCACTGGCTTTGCAGATGCTTGTGCCTAGTCAGCAGGAAAGATTGTATCTTTGGCTCCCACTTCTGTTGTCACTTGTACTCTTGTGCTTCTTTGGTAAGACTTGTCTGCTGCGCAAGCGAATTGGGATATCTGGCATGGGCGTATCTCTTTCTAGGTATACGCTTTTTTTTTGGTCAGTTTAAAGGGACACCAAACGGACACCGAAGACGATCTTCATGCGCCGTGTCTAAAATAGGGTGCCCCCAAAACTGGGTGGATTCACCAAGCCAGCACCTCAGCCTCCACAAACTCCCCAGATCAACCAAAACACCCACTCAAGACCCATCCTCAACTCTAAGCCCAAAAACCTACCAATATCCCAGTTCAAACGAACCCGCGACCTACCCCAAACTCAAGCCCACTTACAACCAGACACATCCCGAACTGCCTAAATCTTAACCTACCCTAAATCTACCCAACCCGCGAGCATGCCAAACCAGGGCCATGACATTTTGCCTTCCATGATGCTTCAGAGAAAAGCAAACAGCTCAAAGCAACAACACCCGCCTCCTTCCACAACTCGGCCTCTTGTTGAAATGTAGCCATCTCTTCCACCAACTCCGAAGACTTCGTACGGCCAAGAGGCAAACTTGGCATGTCCCCTTGCAGGCCGAGGGCATGAAGCGGACCAACCCTCTTTGGACGCTGCCCAAGGCTCGAGCGACGGACCAAGCGCCAAGGAGCACTCCTAAAGGGACTTCGACTTTTTGGAGCTCATGAAGGGACTGGTGCAGGGAAGGTCGTCATTTTCTCAGGTATTATAGGCTCCTGTAGTTTGAGCCCTGTGAGATCAATGGACCGATCTTGAGCCTGGGAAATGAATGCCTGCCTTCTTTATGTTCTGGCAGGCGCAAATTACCCATGGCAGAAAAACGTGTCAGTTCGAGGAATCGATGAGGGCATGCTGACCTTTCAAGCTCTACATCGTTTGTTTCTGTGAGAGGTTCGTCAAATGGGCTTGCAATAACATGAACATCGACGACTTCCGCCGGCCAGTGGCACTATGGATTTATGCTTTTTGAGAGGATGGCCAGGATAGTCTTCCAACAACCCATTTGTCCACTTCCATGATCGTTGGCAACAGGGTACGTCGGAATTTCACCGACCAATCTGGGCACTGCATTGCAGAAGAAGCACTTGGGTCCCCTTTCTCAGAGGGTCCATTTCTTTTTCAGGTTGGCGATTGATCATTTGCCTTTTGGACGAAAGGCTTAGGTTACAATTTTTCCGTTTCCTTCGTTGGTTCCCTTTTTTGGGTTCCAGTTTTGGGTTCCCTCTTGCTGGTTCCTAGATGTATGTTGCGCGGAAAGCGGACGGCGTGCCGATTCTAACATTGCGATTTCTGAGCGGGCCCTGTTGAAGCATCCGATCAAAGTTGGCTTCATGGCCACTCGCCACTATGCATCCTTGAAGGAACCCGTTTTAGTCTTTTTCCCCCAAACAGCCGCCCATTCGGATCACTCCGGAGTGATCCGAAGCTTCCGCGGGCTGTTGGGGATGCCCGGCTGAAATTTTCCCCCCGCCAAGACAAAACACGCTGCTAGTGTCTTTTTGGGTTGCACCATCGGAATCACTGACACCTGGTAAAACCCATTGCAGCTGAAGAAAGCTTGGGACAGAGCTCGTGCCTGGATGAAAGCTTCAGTTCAATATGAGGCGCTGAGAAAAGGAGCCTTCCTCGTAACTGAACAAGTGCAATATCACTGGGTATGCCTTCGTTTTGGTTTCTCTGAAGCCTCTAGTATGAAGTACAAGGTGACGTGGGGTAGTGACCAGAATACCTTGGTACCTTTCTTGCGCCTAGATTTTGTACTTGGCAAAGGGGGAGCCGGGAGCTGGTTTTCGCTGGTTCGCAATGGCCACCTTGCCACTTGGGCCAGGCTGGTCGCGACGATGTGAAGAAGGTCTTCATTTCCAAGAAGATGCCGCAGGATGACTTGCAGTGAAAGTCGGTTTTCTGTGTCGGGAACTGTGTGGTGGTCCGACGCGACAGGTTTGGATTTCGTAGGTCGCGGTGCTCTTTGGGTGCTTGCGATAAGTTGAGAGGTGCACTCTTTATGTGACACTTGAGGATTTCCAAGTACAGAACTTTAAAGGGAACGAGGGCCTTGGTCTGTCAACTGTGACTAGTATGGGGGTGGTACAGGGAGCGTGGATGGATGGATGGATGGATGGATGGATGGATGGATGGATGGATGGATGGATGGATGGCTGGATGGCTGGATGGCTGGATGGCTGGATGGCTGGATGGCTGGATGGCTGGATGGCTGGATGGATGGATGGATGATGGATTGCTATGGGATGACTGCATGGGATGGGAGAGTGCGCGCACACACACAGCCCGCCCGCCCGCCCACCCTCCCCCGCGCGCGCGCGCGCAGGCACACGCGCGCGCACGCACGCTTGGCCCGCCCGCCCCGCCCGCCCCCCGCGCGCGCTCTCGCGCACGCGCGCTTGCGCGCAGGCACGCAGCACGCACGCACGCGCACGCACGCACGCACGCACACGCACGCGTGCGTGCGCGCGCCTGCCTGCCTGCGTTCGTGGCACGCCTGCCTGCCTGCCTGCCTGCCCTGCCTGCTGCTGCCTGCCTGCCTGCCTGCCTGCCTGCCTGCCTGCCTGCCTGCCTGCCTGCCTGCCTGCCTGCCTGCCTGCCTGCCTGCCTGCCTGCCTGCCTGCCTGCCTGCCTGCCTGCCTGCCTGCCTGCCTGCCTGCCTGCCTGCCTGCCTGCCTGCCTGCCTGCCTGCCTGCCTGCCTGCCTGCCTGCCTGCCTGCCTGCCTGCCTGCCTGCCTGCCTGCCTGCCTGCCTGCCTGCCTGCCTGCCTGCCTGCCTGCCTGCCTGCCTGCCTGCCTGCCTGCCTGCCTGCCTGCCTGCCTGCCTGCCTGCCTGCCTGCCTGCCTGCCTGCCTGCCTGCCTGCCTGCCTGCCTGCCTGCCTGCCTGCCTGCCTGCCTGCCTGCCTGCCTGCCTGCCTGCCTGCCTGCCTGCCTGCCTGCCTGCCTGCCTGCCTGCCTGCCTGCCTGCCTGCCTGCCTGCCTGCCTGCCTGCATCAGGAATGCCTTTGGGAAGAATGGCCCCAAACCCAGGCGATGCAAGGGATGCAGGCGATGTGCGCAACACAGCGTCGTCCGAAAGTGTCGGTGATGCTGGCAATGCAGCCGGGGTAGACCGCAGACTTGCAAGCCAAGGCTGCAGACCCAGAACCAGACCCAAAAACAAGCCCCAAAACGCACCCGCCAGAAGCAGATGATGCAGGTGATGCGCATCATTTTCCTCTTCACAGACCCCCCAGCCGCACCCTCGGCATGCAGGTCGGCAGCAACGCAGCCCTATAGAGCTTCGCTCTAGAGCCTTGCCCATGCGGACCAAGGGGACAGCCGTTTGGCACAGCCAGATTATCCAGGCTCCTGCCTGCTGCCGCCGACCTTCTTGGTCGGGTCTCTGGTCAAGCATTCCGTAATTGCTCCCCGGAGAGTCCTGCCGGACTGGCCCTGGGACGTGTGCCCTTCAGGGTATCAGCTCTGCGAAACATAGCGACAAGTCTGCTGCCCAAGCATGGTGAATCGAATTGACTTGCGCTGCGGTGAATGCTGGGAATCCCACCCAGAAAAAGCTTTCCATTTCGGAGGGATTCCGGATCACCTACTTGGGACCCCCTTTTTTCCAGCCACCCTGGTACTCTTCAAGCTTGTTCGGTTTGCAATCCCGCCCTTTCAAAAAAATCAAAAAATGAGAATCGAAACCCAAAGCAAACTCCAGACATTGGGCTGCTCAAAGTTCAAGAGCTAGGGTTACGCGGTTCTAGACTGATTGGTTCCATTTGCCACGGTGTCATTTTGGTACCATTTTGTTTGAGCCACGACCACGTCGCGCTTCGGACGGATCCGTTCTCGGCTTCGGAGGACCTCCTGGGCCGTGGCTCCCCAGGGGCCATCTACGAGCCCAAGCGCGTGCGCACCACGCCCTCCTGGACCTTCGGGGTGGCGGACCGGCCTGGGCCAGGTGGGACGAGGGTCAGAAAGCGGCCTTGGCGTGTCCGCGAAATACCTTGGGGCCAACTTGGGCCAATTGGTGAAACAGGGCTGAGGCCGGCATTGGCCAGTTTGCAGGACTCAAGTGCATGGTTCAGGCAGCCCTATTTCCCTGGGAGCCTTTGGCACCCTGGCGCCCTGAAAACATTCCTCAACTTCCATTTTTTCCCGGATGGTTGTACAGGGAATCTGGCACTACTGGACATGTCTTCTTTTCTTTTTCTTTCTTCTTTTGGGGAGGGGGGGGACTTAAGCCAATGGAGGTCTCGCATGTTTTTGGACGCTTCGGCTCCTGGTGCGCCTTTGTTTGGATCGAACCCTCCGACAGACACACTTTTCTAGGGATACCTTCCAATTCCATTTTTTCCAGGGATCCTTCTTTCTAGAAAACCTCTGGAAACCCAGGGAAATAGCTGGTTTTCGAAAAGAACGATGGTTGAAAAGAATGGGAATCAACCCCTAGAACTTTGGATGAGAACCCATGCTCTTTGTGCACCCTTTTTTGGAGCAGCCCACAAACACTCTGGACGAGCTCTTGTTTGAGCTGAACCTCTTTTTTTTTTTTGGGGGGGGGGAATCCCCACAATCTACTAAGAAAGGTGAGCCGGCAGTTCCCTGGTTTTGGAGGATCCTTGTTTTTGAGGACTCACACGAGGACTACACAAACGCAGTGCTTGCCATCCTGCTGCCGTGGCTTCGAGGAACCTTTGACTTTCACACCGGCTCAGAGTACCGGATTGTCGATTTCCATGGGCCGCGACGGGGTTCAGGTTTGTGCCCACTCACATGGCTGTGGGTCAGAACCCAGGAAACCCCTGGTGAACATCAAAATAGGTGGTACATGGGTGTTCATCCGCCCCAACATGGAGGCATAGGTTATGACCCATGGCCACATTAGGCTTCGCCAGCAACAAAACTTGGGCCAAGAGCTTGGTTGGTTGGCAATTGACCCCCGACCTTTCAATCCTGAAGCAGCGTCGTTCACCCGCCGCTTTCGCGAGCTACCGCCCTTTTGCTCGCCAGGCAAGGCAAAGTATCCTGAGAGCTCCAATGATCTCACGCAGGCAAAGCGAGAGCTGGGAGCGAGAGCTTCCCCTTCGATGATTTTCAGAAGGACCCCTCTCAAAAGTGTTGGTGGACATAGAGCACGTCCTAGATGATGCCCACAAAAGGTCCGCAACTAAAATCAAATTCTTACTTCTAGTTACCATGGACGAAGCACACATCTTGTCATTGTAAGACACTGATTTGACCCGAAAAGGTCAAGGATGGGAACCTTGGTTCTTCTGGTTTTGGCGACTGTCTGGGCGGGAAAGACACGACACGCTTGCTTTTGTCACCATTAACTTGTTCAGTGCAAAGAGTATCTTGCGAGAGCCGGAGTGTTGTTGTGAGCAATGCATGATTTGTGACACATGATTTGCGCACCGGCTCTGCAGAATTGTTGTGTTGAATCGAGTGTATTGCTTGGCTGGCGATAATGTTGCAAGTTGAGCTGGTCAACTACTTGCAGCGGTCCGGAAGTAGAACGCACACACGCAACACACACACAAAGGACAGCATTCCCTCTTGGCAACTTGCCACTTTGCGCTTCTACAGTGCAGCCTAGTGCAGAGAACGAAAAGCAAGAAGGAGCTTAACCATGTTTTTGGTGCTTGTTTGCCTCTGTCTCTTTGGGGCGCTGGTTTAGTAGCTTCGCAGAATCCTGCGTGTTTAACCAAGTTGTTGTACAAGTCCGAAGCAACATGTTCACATCACCTATGTTGTTGTCAATGTTGTTGCTGCTGCTGGCGCTGAGTTCGGTCAAGAGATAGCAGTTTTGGCTTTGCGGACTCATGACCTCCCCCTTGGCTTCGCGGACTCATGACATGCTGTTTACATCTATGTGTGCTACAAACATGACGCGACACATGAGGCCGCCTAGACCTTCCCACCGTTTTTGTTTTTGAATAAACAAAAAACAAGAAACACACCTCCAACGCACACACAGAGAGACGGACTGATAAAGGACGCCCTGCGGAAGGTTTAGGTTTTTGGACCATCTCCAAATGACTTGCGCATTTGTGTCACACCTATGGAAGCTTGCTTCCCTACAGATTAGCATGGAACCCAACACACCACCATTTAGGGGAGTAGCTCCAGGTTACGCCGGACTCCCAGCCGTTCAAGTACGGCGACCCCACGGCCGCTACAATCGGCACGTGTCCCCGAGACGCCGTGGGCTCAATGTTTGTGCTGCCAGTCGCGTCAGGTTCATGACATGCATCCTTAACTATGACTTGGCTTACATTGTCCAATGTCAACGACACTGGCTCGAGAGAAGCTTGCCTCTAAGGGTGCGGGCAAATGACCACGCCTATGATACCACTGGGAATCAGCCTGATTCTTGAAGGTTCCTTTACATCAAAAGTTGCCACCTTTCTGTCATTTCCACGACCTGATTCTCCACCTTGTGAGGTTTGTATTCAGCTGCAGCTGCTGCGGTTGTGGTTGTGGTTGTGGTTTGCTGTTGTTTGGTTGTTGCGGTTTTTGTGGTGGTTTTGGACGCTTGGTTGTGGCCGTGCTCAAACGCGAAGGCAACAGGACCTTGGATTTTTATATTTCGTTTTGCTGGAAGGCAGAACACACCTTCTGCCGTGCTGATGCCAACTCCTGCTCCGTACTCTGCGGCGGGAGCTCTGGCTTTGATCTCTTGAGCAAAGGAAGTGTTTTGCATCTGCTGTTTCCGTTGACGCTCCCTTGGTAGATTGCTTTTTGGCTTCAGGGCCGCGCGGCTTTTGCTGTTCCTCGTATTTTTTTTGCGTATCTTCTTTTGCCAAAGGGGTTGGCAGATGTCACTTGGGACTTTGGGGTCCTATGCCCGCGGAGCCATTCGTTGACCGAGGTTGTAACCAACGCTCCGGATTTGCGGCTTGGACTCGGTCAAAAAAGCCGCTTTTCGCGGTTTGACTTCCTTTTCAGCGAAGATTTTGAGGCTTCTCCAACTTACTTTCGGGGGTTGCCATTGAACCACCATGTAGAATCTAATGTCGGAGATGTCACTTTAGTGGGCCTCAGTTTGAGCCTCGAAGTTCGCTGTGGCCCCCCCTGTGACTTGGGGCGTCGCAACGCAAAGAAGTCTGTATCCGGGGCTTCGGCATGGTTTACCATGATGCTCCGTTCTCTTCAGTCCTGTTGAGAAGCCACCCATTTTCCCCTGACCTTTGTGGCCATTTCCTTGAGAATGGGGAGGTTCCCTTTCAAATGTACCACCAGTTTTTTTTTTTTTTTACATCCACTACTGAAATCTTTGGGATCTTCGGAGCTGTTTTTTTTTTTTTTTCGCGCTTCGCTAGGAACGGCTTCCCCGTGGGTCGCATATCCCCAGGGCCGATGCCTCCTGGAGAGAAAAATCCGCGCGAACGGGCGACGGGCGGCGCCGAAAAAGAAAGAGAAGCGGGAGAGTCGTACTGTGGAAGGACAGAATCCTGCACCACTTTGAAACCAGGGGAAGCCATTGTGCGTTGTATTTACAGGGAAAACATCATTCCAGGGTTTCTTAGGTGGCAGGATTTCGTCCATCCACAGCATGATCTGAAACGCACCCCGAGAAAAAACTGGACACTCCGAGCAAGCGACAAGGGTACTACCATGAACACCTATGGGAAACCTGACTCAAAAGCAAGCTTGATAAAGAGTTCCTCAACAATGTTCACTTGGGATCCAAGACCAAAGTTAAACTGAAGCCCATTGGATTGGTCAGAGTTGTGGCCATTTTCAGTCACGCGGGCGGCAGGTTTCAGATTCACGGCTGGCTTAGGGAATGGGAACGGTTCCTGAGATGGATGAAACTCTATGGGACAGACCACTTCTCAGAATCTTTCGTCCATGATCTTTACATATTTCCAGAGGCACGGTTGGTGGGTTCTAAGATGGTCCCCCCCCCCCTCCCAAACCACTAGGGGTTCAATGGCCACTGGGTAACCCCGATTTCCCGCGGGTCCGAAAAGTGATCCGGAGGCGGAAATCACTAGGATCAGGCTAAGGCTGATGGGAATAGGCTTCAATTCGAATGGATTTGGGATGTGTTTCTCGAGCCACAGTAAGACTCAGGTTGAAGTCTGGAGTGTGACTTCCCGACTTCCCGCCAGAGATGAGGGTGTTTGAGGCTTTGCTTCGCCATGTCTTTTCTTCGCCTTCTGCCACCCGGTCTGCTTTGCGTGCATTCACTGGCCACGAGATCCGAGGTAGGAGGCCTTTGGTCTGGTAGCTGCATGTGCTAAGGCCATGTTAAACAGCAAGATGAGGAAGGGACACATCGAGCGGCATGGTCGGTGTTTTTTATTTTATTTTATTCGCTTAGTTTTCAGATCGTGGCAGCTGTCAAAATATGGCCCCTTGTCGGGACACTTGATTCGCTTTGGAGCTTCACCAAGGGGTCCGAGTCGAACACGCGAGTGTCTTGACGGCACCCTTCGTGTTGACAATTGGATGTGTCTTCCAATAAAAGAACCCCCAGAACATTCCCCTTTTTAGAAGCAGCCTCCACAAAGTGTATTGATTCCGCACAAACTGTTGGTCCGGCTTTTGTTCAAGGGACACACCTTTTCGTTGCAGTGGTGCCCGGCCTCCCCTCCCCCCCTTTGGAGCCAAACCCAGTGTTGACTTGGTTTCATACTCGTGAACATCTTGGCTTCAAGGCATCCCCAGTATGGGGCAGGAAATCCAACTTCATCACAAATTGTTTTGTGGGTTTAGGGTTTGGGGTGAGCAGATTTCTCCTGAATCCCCAAACATCTGATGTTTCTTTTTTTTTTTCCTCCCATGAAACAAAAAGACTCACCTCCCCGCTTTTCGCCTCACGCCGGCAGAATCTTTTGGGGGACCGCCCGGGGCGGCGTTCCGACTCCGCCCACTCCGCCCACTCCGCCCACTCCGACTCCGGCGGACTCCGAGGCGCTACAACGTGGCCAACTGCCCCCCGGCTACGCGGCTGCAGCACGCCCCCGGCTGCGACCAGGTGCCCCCGAAGCCGGGGAGCCGAGCGAGCCGAGGTCTCGGGGCACCAAGCCAGCCGGAAAGTCACAAAAGGATGCGCCTGGATGGCCAAGTTGCGTTTTTTTTTTTTTTTTTTTTTTTTTTTTTTTTTTTTTTTTTTTTTTTTTTTTTTTTTTCTCAGTCGCTGTTGCGATCGGTTTTTGGGGTAAAGTGCACGTAACAAAAAAGAAAACAAGATAGCAACTGGCGATCCAGGTGGTCCCCAAATCAGGACCCCTTTTCCCCTAACGTCGAAGAGTTCCATGTAAATGGAAGGAGAAGAGCGCCAGAGGTGTCACTTTTTGTTTTGTTTTTTTCTCGGTTGGACATCCGTGGCCGAAAGGGGGGACCTGGTTGTTGGATCTGCCAGGGCCAGGTTTTTTTTTTTTGTTCCCTGAAAACAACACCAAGAAAAGTTTTTGGTGGGAACTTCTGCTTGGCTGAGTGGTTCTGGTGGCCTTTTCAGACCCTTGCTTCTGGCTGCGGTAACTCCCAATGGGAGAAACTGAGTTTAGTGACATTTTGTATGTGTTGTGATATCCTCTCTCCACAAATTGATATCGGGCGGAAAATGGGGGTCCCCTAAAGGAATTTCCTCCAGCAAAAGAGGGCTGCAAAAAGAGAGTCCTCTTTGTCTATCTCAACATAGGAGACCTCTTAGATGGCTAGGGACACCGGATGGGAACCCGCTGGAGTGGTGTGTGATTGTGAGAAACACCCGATACATCTTTCCACCTCTCTGAGTAGATGGCTCCAGGAGGTCTACAGGAATTCTGCAGGAGACCTTGTCTTTAGTTTTGTTTTCCGTTGACCGTTCCCCAGTTGGGGAATTCTTGTTTTTACTTCATTTCCCTTTTTGGAACCTCCAAACATGGCAGTTTCAAGCGAAACCACCCGTATATAAATTGATCAACTTTTGATGGGGAGATCCAGTGACCACTGTGAGTTGCTCTCTTTCCAAGACCCAAAGCTTGTGGAAGTGGGCAGGGGACAGACCCCCAAAACAAACGACTTCCAACACTCTCCTGTCAGCATCCACGTTTGGATGGAGGGTATCCTGCCAAATCGCAGCTAGGTGTTTGGCATAAAAATGAAAGCCCTGGGATTTTCATTGAAATCCGAACAAGTTGGCAAACGGGGGCCAAACACCCCCCCACCCGAAAGGAGGTTCTGTTTCCAAAAGCGGATGGATTTTGGATTCCTTGGTCACGCGCAGGAGTGCAATCTGGGTGAACTGGGATTTTCTAGGTAGATGACCTTGAAATCGGCCAGGAAGCTTCATTTTGTGAGTCCACTGTAAAAACTTCCAAAGTTGGGGGCGGCATTCCCTTTGTTTTCTCGGCGGCAACACGGCCGATGGCTCAAAGGGGGCCACTGCAAAACGAGTGGGCTCGCCGATTGTCCAGGTTCAGTCGACGTTTGAAACTGGGGTTCGGGGCACGGAATTCGAGAAGCCTACCAGCAACAGCCAGGGCGACCAGCCCTACTTGGAACAGAAGCAAGTAGGTTGAAGCCAAGGTTATATTAGTGAACTACCCTCGGGTTTCCCACCTGGAACCATTGTAAGCTACTCGTATAGATTGAACATCCTCAAGTGATGTCCCGTGCTCAGGTGGAGCATCGGGCATCGTACCAAGATCAGAGAGCTGGAATCGCAGACGGGGCCAAAAGCTCCTTGGCAGAGTTTGGTATGTGTCCAAATAAGGGAGGTTTTCCTTTTGCTCTCCCTTAGAACCAACCCCAAAAGGGTACCCTCAGAAAAACACCCATTTCCCAAGTGGCAAAGCAACGTGGCAATGCAAAGTGGCAAAACCACCATTCAAAACCAGGTATGCAACCCAATGAGCAGGGCTGAGGGCTTCGCTGCAACTTCCTCCCATCCCCATGACTTTTTCAGAAGCAGAGCACAGATTTTCTGCGGCAAGGGCTCTCTGAGCTGTCAATCAGAATGACGGTGCACAGGTGGCGGAGAATGCGTTTTGAAACTCAAAGAGTGAGTTGGCCAGCTCATTTTTGTGGCTTTCTTGTTTCAGTTTTGTGTTCGGACATGAAATTCCAGAGCCTTGGACTTGATACCGTCCAATGGGTCGTTCCTACCCTTCCGATGGGGACGGGGCTTGCAACCAGCCCTTGAAACACAGCAAGCCAACGAACTTCTTACCAGATGATGTGCCTAACCCCCCCCCCCACCCCACCCCACCCCACCCCAAACGATCGTCAGTTGGTTTGGCGTCGGGGCGTAGTTCTATGCTTACTTCAGCCAGACAACAGTTTATGCTTCTTGCCTGTTTTGAAAAGACACTATCGGGTCAGCCGCGCATTTTGTGTGGCAGGCGTTGCACGGCCCCCCCCTGGTCCAAAAATGACCGCGCGCTACCCAGTAGGTCTCATCGTGAAGGATTCCAGGGGGCATGCAAAGCGTGGATTTACGCATGGGCCTCGACCAGGGTTGTGGCATCAAGGGGTTTATCCAACCACTTCGGTGATACAAGGGCATCCCTTTTTCTATATGGGGGGTCAGTCTTTGGCAGACCCTTTTGGTGGTATCACAGAAGTAGATTCCATTTCCCACAGCCCTGGCCTGGACGAGTAAAACAACAAGCGCTGCAAAAACATAAAGCCCAACGCCCAGGTTGGCCCAGGCACGTATCCGCTGCCCGCTGCTTGGCCAAATACAGGGAACCCGAAGCGGAAAGCAGGGAGGAGCCAAGGCCTAATGGTGTTTCTATTTCAGGTTTGGTGTTGCATTTGTTTGTTTGCTTGCTTGCATGCTTGCTTGTGTTGTTGTGTTTTTGTTTGTTTGCTTGCATTGCTTTACATGGTATGATACCGCGTCATAGCGCGCCGCATCGCGTCGCATCACAAGGCATTGCATTGCTTGCTTGCTTGTTTGTTTGCCTTGTTGTTTGTTTGTTTGTTTGCTTGCTTGCTTGTTTGTTTGTTTGTTTGTTTGTTTGTGTTGCTTGCATGGTATCATATCGCATCGTGTCGTGTTGCATCACGTCGCATCGCATGGTATTGCATTGCTTGCTTGCCTGTTTGTTTGCTTGCTTGCTTGAGTGCGTTGTCTGCTGTTTGTCTTTCTTGCTCCTTTGTTTGTCTGCCTGCTTGGTTGATTTGCTTCTTTGCTCGTTTGTTTTCCGTCTTTGCTTCTCTGCTTATTCGTTTTCTGTGGTTGCTCGCTCGCTCGCTTGCTCGCTTGCTTACTTGCTTACTTGCTTACTTGCTTACTTGCTTCCTTGCTGTTTTTGTTTCTTAATCAGTGTCGCTTTTTTGCCCGTTTTCGTTTGTCTCTTTGTCAGTTTCAATAGTTGTTCATTTTGTCCGTTTGTCTTTGCATTGCAATCTTTTTTGTCTGCTTATTTGCCTCTCTATGTCGTTAATTTTGTTTGCTTGCTTGCTTGCTTGCTTGCTTGTTTGTTTGCTCGTTCGTTCACTGGTGGCTGCGTTGTTTCTTTCTTTGTGTGTTTGTTTGTTCATTTGCTTTGTTGGTCCTTTGTTGCTGTGTGTGTGTGTCTGTGGTTTGTGTAGTAAGCACGCTTGCTTGCTATGCTTTGCCGCGCTTTTGTCATGTGGACGTCGTGTGTTGCTAGAGTTCTGCTGCGGTGTCGTTGCAATGTGGGGCGGTGCCTTTTAGGGTACCCGCTTTTGGGGTTGTTTTCAGAAGCCAACAGGAACCTTCTTTGGGTCCAAATCCCTATTTGGACACACATCCCATGTGTGATGTTCTTATCGCTCCCATGCCTTCCAAGGATGCTTGTGGCAAGCAGTACGAGTCTGACAAGAAGAGCAATCCCACCTGGAGTTGCTGTAAGAAGGATCGCTTTCCGAAGAAGGCCAGTCGGCAGACAGCGCCAAGCAGTAACCCAGAGTCAGAGGTTGGAAGGGGTTCAACAGTCTTGAACCTTGGACTTTGTTGTGGACAAGATGAGTACTTCGTGGGGATCCATAGCAGTGTTCCGATGTCGTGCATGCTGAATAGAGCTGATTCGTCCGCAGTGCCGAAGCTTGGGACGGTTGGTTGACGGAATGCCATGTCCGCATCAAAACAGCAGGTGCAACGCCTGGGCTTGAATCACCCGCACAACCCGCATTTTGGTGAGTTCGCGGTACCAAAAAAGCTTGAGAACATATTGATTGGCTTATTGGCACTGCCACTTTTGAGCACTTGTTTCTTCTTCTTGGCTACTTTGGAGTTGTTTTAAAGGGAAATCAGAGGGAAGCCACCCATTTTGAAAGCTCAGCCGAATCGGGCATGCGGATTTCAGGGTGCCCCTTGAGCCGGGACTCGGGACCGCAAGTCAACACGGGCTCGAAATGAAGGGACCCCAAAACTGGGTTTCGGCTCCAGCGTAAAGGCAACCGGCCTTAACCGGCCTTTCAAAATGGTTCCCTAGAAAGTCACATGCGTCTTTTTTCATATGCGCAACATGCAAAGTAGGAGCCCCCGTTTTCGTCGCATCACTGGCGTGTTCCATTCTTTGACCCCCAAGATAAACTTAAACCTACCCAGGGTTCAAGTCTACCTGGCGTGGTAAAAATATGGAGCGCTCGTGGTTGTTTAGTCTGCTTTGCAGAAGCGCCTCGCAAACCACAAGGCCTTTCGGTACTTTTTGCCCCTGAGCCGAGAGTGAACCGCTGTCGTTCATTCGCCTGCCACTTGTCGGTGGGGCTTCCGCTGTCTGGCTTCATGCAGGCTCGCGAGCACAATACTGGCCGTCTTTGGGACGGCGAGGGCAAGAAGAAGGCACAGTTCAACAGGAGCCGACCATGGCTTCTACGAATCGCTTTCCACACGCAAGCTTTCCCGACCAAGTGGATTTCTTGACTCGGCCACTTGCTTGGTTTCTCAATCATGGGACAGACAAAACCCCGAATCCTAACAGGAAGCTATCATGGGTTTGAGGCTTTGAATTGTTACATCCCAGATGGACGAAATAGATCTGGCATGTCGTCATGCTTGACTTCGCGAAAGAAACGCCCTTTGAAATCGGTCGGTATGGATGGTCATGGACCCCTTTGCCGTGAACTTAGACGACCGAAGCCATTCTGACGGAATCATGACCGTGGCTGGTGGACAGTCGATTTGGGTCAGGGGGTAAGCAGGCTTGGCCCAGCCCCCTCTGAACTTTTCCAAGAGGTGTGTCAACTTGTGCAAGCATTTGTTGTTCGCCCAGCTTCCTTTTTTCCGGGTTTACCCGCATATTCAGTTGCCAGTTCAAGCCTCACCTTTTCCTGGTAGATTAATACAAGGGGTATTATAGTAGTAGGGGGTGTCCCCGGGTTTCGTGAGGAATCATTCGTCTTGGAGGGAACCACTTCCAAGACCACCTCCCCCACTTTCACTTTTTGTTGGGGAAAAAGTCACCCTGTAGGTACTCCCCCTTTGGAAAGAAACTCCACCTTGCACTCCCCTCCCCCTGTGGAAACTGTGGAAACCCCCCCACCTTCGCTTGGACTCACTCGCGAGCTGCCAGGACCTGCTCGGCTCCGCCCTCCTTCAGCTTCGGCACCTCCACGCGCTTCCACGCGCCTCGCCGGAATCGAACCGAACCGGCCGCGCGCGAGAGCCAGCGACGGGCCCGGTGCTTCGCCGGCGAAAGGAGAGGCGCTTCTCCGGGTTGGGTGTTTTGTTTCTTGCCTGCTTGCTCCACTGCAAACATGGGGAGAGTTTTGTTGAGTTGGGGGGCATGCCGGGTGTGTTTTCCTGTCTTTCGGCCAGCAGGTAGCTTCCTCCGTGCAGCCAGAAAGGATGTGTCTACTCTTCTGCGGCCGGGCGTGGGTTCTGGCGCTTCATGCAAAACAACTAGCGCTCACTACTTTTCCGCTTAATGGAAGACAGCCACAGCCGTGGAAGGATCAAGCGACCAAAGTCATGCATGCGGTGCACAGCGCCGCCCAGCAACTCGCCCCATGCAAGTTGTTGACGCCTACACTGGGGCGGGTGCTGGCTGAGGCGCAGAAGCTGGCTCGGTGTCTGGCGCCAGCGGATGCCAAGGAGTTGGTGTGTGTGTGTGTGTCCCTGTGCGTGCGTGTTGTGTGTGTGTGTGTGTGTTTTCATTTTTTGGCGGGTCTTTTTGATGGCACTGTTTGATCTATAAGGCTTCGCTTTTTGTTGTTGTTTTTGTTTTTGTTTTTGATTTACGTTTCCCTTTCAGGTTTGTGTCACCAGTTGGCGGCAACTCGGTCTTGAGGGAATCCTTTGACGGGGAAACCGGATCCACTTTCCGCCAGCGAAAAAGAAGTCTGTTTGTTCCGAGCAAGAAAGATGACCAACAGGGGATAGAGTTGGTTTAGTTTTCTTTCTTTTTACCCAGGGACCAAAATGGACAATTGTGCGCCCTTGGGAGCAACCGTTGATGGTACACTTGTTGCTTGGCCTTAATTGTTTGTATTGAAGTGTCCTTGTGGTGATGGGTGTGTCTTTTGATTCGTTGGTTTCTATGGGTTGGGTGGTTGGTAGGTTTGATTGCCAGTGCCCAGAATCGGGATTGGCCACAGGTGATTCTATGCGGCTTCACAAGGGGATTCTAGGAATTGCCGTGAGCATGAACAGTGAGTGGCTTTGAAATGGTGCATGCGATTTCAGAAAAAAAAAGAAAAAAAAACGTGTGCTCCCCCTGGTGAATTTCGGAAGGGGGCGCGATCCCCTCGTCTTGAGGGATTCAGGTGAGGCCAGCAGGCGGCCCATTGCATTTACGGAGTTTGGGGCGCTCACGTGGCGGCGTTGCCTGCAAGGGACCGGGTGGCCTGCATTTCTACCTTCTGACCACCCGTTTCTCCTCTTAAAACTGGATGATTTTTTGGTGGCTCAACCAAATCAACGTGGTCCTTCGAAGTGGCAGGGAACTTTTTCGTACGAGCCCCAGGTTGATTTTGATCCGGGGTGCCACAAACGCTTTGGGAAGGCAACGATCTTCAGTGCTTTTGGGAAGTTGCACTGATCACAATCTCCAACCTTTGGCCAAGCGTGAGGGAACTAACATGGAGCCCACAAGTCAAAGCAGCCCCGGTGTTTCGGGTTTGTATGTGTGTTTGTGTGTTTGTGTGTGTGTGTGGGGACTCACAAAAGGGGCGGTGTCCTTTTGGTTGCCCAGAAGAAAACACACAGAAAGCACGCCCACATGGGCAAAAAAAACCGGACCCCATGTTCAAAAATAGAGACTCTGAAGCCTGGGATGGTGTCTGGGGGAAAAAAAAGAAACGCCACGTGGCAAAATTGGCTATGGCTCAAAACTGAAAGGCACCAGGTGGTTTTTTGTTATCCTTATGGTCCTGTTACCAGGCGTTTCTTCTACCCCCATGTTGGGGTGACGAACTCTTCTTTTGGGACAGCCATAGTTCGGTTCTCTTGCTGGCGCTCACACAGGAACGAGGGAATGAACCTCGGAATACCCTTATTTGTATAGGGCCTGGTTTTGGTCGGGGTCAGACTCCATTTCTCCTTCCCATCTCTCGCAGCCAGCTTTTCCGTCCCAGAACGCCTGCCAGGCCTTCAGCTCTCAGCCCAAGATCGTGCCGCCCAGCCTCGACCCTCGCCGCGCCGCGCCGGCGGAGTCTTTTGTTGCGATCGAACGGGGAGAGGCCGATTTGGGACGATGTTTCCGAAGCAGTCAAGGCAGCGTGTGTGGACAAACGCCACCAGTTGGGATGGCTGAAGCCTGTAGGAATGGCAGGACGTTTGTGGTTTGCATGAAGAGCAGTCTGACACGTGCCTGAAGGCAGGAAGGATGTTACTTTGAGCTGATTCTGTCCATGTCTCACGTGTTATGTCCTACTGAATCAGCAAAACCTTAGAGAAGGCACACAAGCCAAGCCAGGACGGAGGTGTAGAGAAATTATCAAAAAAAAGCGAGGACCTCTATACAACGATTCAGAGCCATAGCAAGGGGAGCCAGTGCAGCCTACGACTATCGACGAATTAGGGGGCTTAATAGGACCGAATGCCATGACCTTCCACTGGCCTCGTGGTGTCTGGACGCCTCGAAGGGTCGCAGACGCCCAAGGCCCAAATTGGCTTCCCCTAGGTGTGCGTCGCGTGGAAGTTGCCCTGCCAGGAGATTGTGAGGTTCACGGACGTGCCCAAGGGAGCCTGAGATAGACCGCTCAGGCTTTAAATGGACCGGAATGGGCTGGTGTTGTGGTCATTTCCATGTCGGTGACGGGTTGCAGTGTGTTTGCCGGAAGTTGGGTGAGTGTTCACCGATTCTGAGTAGAACCCATGAATTTGGGGCTAGGAACTTACGCTTACCGCTTACCTGCTGTTTTCCGGTGCGGGCGTGCGCTTGCCCTCGAGGCCACCGAAGCCTTAGGTTTCACCTCAGTCGGAGTTGCGTTCCGTGTCTCGAAGCGTTCGAAGTTTCACCCCCGGCTCGCGGTTCAAAGAACTTCGATGTGATCAGGGCCAGTTCCTCGCGCTTGCGACGTGCTGAGAAAAAGAAGAGCCGCTCTGGGGGGTGGGCTGCCAACCACGCGGAGTTCAGCGCAAGATCCTTATGCCAGATGGTTGCGGTTTCATGTAGGGATTGCGGATTAGGGCAACCTTTGCGCGTCTTGAAGCATCCCAGCGGACGAAAGCGGTTGACAGCTGCGAGTGTCCGCCACGCCAAGGTCGTGATAGCGAGCATTTTTTGGCCAGCGTACAACTCCACATAACAGATTCGTAATATTTTGGTATTTTGGTGTTGGATGCCGTCCATGGGGATAGCAGAGCGGCCACTCAGAACGGGCAGCAAGAGAAAGCTGGCGCCCAGTCCGTGGGCCGATTTAAACGGCCGTTGATTCAACGCCGGAGTTTAAGGGACAGTCCCAACCAAGCGGTGTGGATATCCACAATTTTGATGCTTGACATGGGTGTTGGTGGGCTTTTCGAAGGAGAGACTTGATTATGATTGGTGAAAGTGGCAAAGAACGTCGTAGGAGTGAAGTTGGTCTTGATGGGGGAAGCGCGTAGCCGTTGATGTTATCGTGCCGTCCGTGCCGTCGCATTTCTCAATGCGAAATTGCCATCTCGACAAACATGCAACTTGAAGAGGGCCCCCTGAAGGAAATTCTTTTCTGACCGGGCTCCATGTTCCTTTTTTAGGAGGGTATGAGTACAGGCGGTATAGGCTTGCACTAACCCTTTTTGTTCTCATCTCCTGAGAGCAGAATATCCTGGCAAAGATTCTGCCAGAGCCGTTTCGAAGGCATTCGTTTGTTGGGTGATTCCCGCAATGCGCACGTTCTGCCGCGCTACTTCACGCAAAAAAGGCCACGCGCAGACCAACACGCACGCCCGCACTCGCGCTCCTGCAACCGCACCTGCTGGACGCACGCAATTCACAGATTGTTGGCGTCAAAACTTGCGCTAAGGAAGGAGAACACCCAAATTGTTTGACACCATGCTTGACACCAGGGCCGAGCCGTGGGGCTGCCGCCCAGGGGATTGTTGGCAAAAGCCCTGGGCAGAAGTTCAGTAGGAAACGGCCATGTCCGACGTAGGAAGCACCGAGCTGGGGACGTTGCCAAGCAACGTACCTCGCCAATGAACACCCTTCAGCAGCATGGCAGGATGATGACACCTGCACAGCTGAGCGAAACAGGCGTGAACACAGCGCGGACACCGGAAGTTGATCACAAACAATAAATGCGCTCACATACTACTCCGTAGCGTCGAATGAACAGCCTGCTGACCGCAGACCCTCCGTTGACCAGGTCTCAGCTGACGCGCGTTCTGAGGGACCCACAGCCGAACCTGACCCAATGCCCGCAATACAGGCAAACTGGCGTTTCTTCGAAGCATGCTCAGAGTGCAATCATGTGCCGTCAGCACCCGCCCGTCTGCCAACGAACAGTAGGCAGCTTTCATTGGGTGGCTTCTCTGGGGGCATTTGTGGTTTGCCGCGGCTGCACCGGGCGAATTCGTTTTTTGTCGCATTTCTGCTTTCTTCAACAGTACGAGCCGTGCGACGAACAGCCTAGGTGCTGTTTCGTTGTCCTCCCTGTTGACGTGCGCTGCCTTGCATAGCAACAACGCTGCCCGTGAGGAAACTTAAAATACGGCGTCCTCCCTTGCGTTTGGGGGGCCACAACATGATGTGGGAGAAGGCGCGCCGGAAACCAAAACAACAAAATCAATTTGTCTGCGAGCTTTCCGACTGCACCCGGCCGCCAGCCGCGTGCGCCGGGTTGCGGCGGCGCGTTCGGCGCCCTTGCTGCAGCATGCCCTGAAGGCCTCTGCTGCGACGTCGTTCACGTTGCGCTGTGGTGCGGAGGAATGGCGCCCTCAGTCGCATGCTGAGCTACAGCAAGCCCCCGAGTCGCCGGCAACGATTTGTTGCAGCGTCAGTACGGTAGCCTTGTACATGAGCAAGTTGCGCTTCCGGCCGCATGGCGCCCCCATCTGCTCTCCATTCGGCGTAATATCACGCATGCGAAAGCCCCATCTGTATAACATTTCTTCATTCATTCCATTTCACTCCAAATCATTCTATTCCATTCTATTCCATTTCACTCCAAATCATTCCCGCAACAAGCCGCCCGATCCCAAGCCAACAGCCAACTCTGTGTGGAACCTCGGCTTTGGCGGTCCTGCGACTCTCCAAACAACATTGGAGGACTCGTCGTCATCCAGCACCACTCTCAAAATTTCTCCTGTCAACCCACTGGGACCTGGCGCTGTTCCTTTGCGTGAGCGTCGGAGATTGGCAAAGAACCTAGACGCACTAATTGGACAGCGCGCTCGGCTTTCCTGGAAGCGTCATCGTCTGGCACAACGGATCGCGAGAGCGTGGCGGCGCCTCCTCAGCAGGACCTGTCTGGCTCTCATCCGGTAAGGCTCCGGAAACACTCACTAGCTGCAGCCACTCACCCCGGAAAAACGCATCAAAACGAGTCAAGAAGTCCCGCTTGGCAGCCGTGGAAGAAAGAGCCAAAGCTTCCACGCCCGCTCGCACCCAACGCTGCCGGGGTCGTAGCATTGTGGATCAGGCCAAGGGCAAAGCGGAGAGCTTTGCGAAGAGCGCCCTTAAGGAAGTGTTGTGGGGACCGGATGGAGCGGCATGGGTGGCTGAGCGCCGTTTCTACATCCAAGGCATCAAGTGCCGTGAAGGTGTTTCTCAAGCGCGCCCCGTGCAACGGGAGAAAACGTGTTGGCTGTGCAACATTTGCTTCGTCGGGTTAACTTGGCTCGGCTGCTGGTGCGGGGCTCTGGCCTCACCACACGCAGGGTCACGGTTATGATTGATCAGGAGTGCCGGTTGGCTGGGTTGGTCAGGGGCGCTGGCGACTTGCTGCTCCGAAGAAAGTTGGTCTGGGGGTGGCCGGCGCTGACCGCTGCGTGAACTACGGCTACCGGGCTGGTCCCTGCCCTCGTTTTGGACGGCCACTTTTGCTGGCATCACCCCGAGGCGCCGGTAGTTGTTGAGCGGGACTTCGGTGGCCTCGTGCGTGCGCCGCTCAACGGCCCAAGGCAGGAACTGACGCCTCGGCAGGGAGAATAGCAAGGCAATCTCAGGAGCGGAAAGCTGACGCTCAACTGCGGCAACGGCCTGGTGGACCCGCACAGCATGCAAAATGTCTTGGACGTGGACGGCCGCTGCGCGTTGGAGGTTTCGAGCCGCTACACGCCAAACCTGCCCAAAGTGAGCGTGCGCCTCCCACTGTTGCGACGCTTCCCTGCGCAAGTTACCCACTGCAGCTCGGAGCAGGGGGGCAAACAACCAGCTGTTCGCACCAGCTGGCGAGTGTGCACTGGAGGCTGGGGGCCCCCCGACCGTCGGGCTGCCTACGGCCCCATGCGCGCACCAAGTTGCGTGGCGCGCGGATCTCGTACGCTAGCCTTGGATGTAGCTCGTCAACAGCTCGGTTGGGATTGTATTCTTCTCGGCCCGGGGGTTCAGTTGCCCCGTTCCACTTCGGAGCAGACCGCAGCCGTTAGCCCTGATCGTCCCGGAGCATCCGCCCGAAGTGCAGAACAGCCACCTGCCTTGGATGGCGATTTTGGTGTTGGCTGGCTGCCCCCCCGCCCCGCTTTTTGCCCCGTTTTTTGTTTGGCTGCCCTCGGTTTTCTTTGTGTGGGTGCGCTCGGTGGAGCCTGGAACCACCTTAAAAACAGGGCGCCACTGTGCATATCTGGAAGCTGGCCAGTATAAAGCAGCTCTGTACTAAGACCTCCCCGTGGAGGCCGGGCCACACACACACAAAAAAAACAAAAAACATGGCGAAGATGCTTGCCCTCGGTGCCTTCTAAGCATCCCTTACATCTCGGTTGTCTGCGCATATGCGTGTCCTATGTGTTGATATGGGTGGTTTGCCACTCGTTCCGTGCCTATCCCGTCCGTTCCGCCAGCTCCGCGTGGAGTAGCTGCCTGTGTTGCATATGATGCTTGGATTGTTTTGCCTGAACGTTTGATGACCTGGGCCCCTGTGCAAGACACATGAAGGTGCTGGAGGCCGCTGGTCGGTGCCCCGAGGCGGTTGACCGTTGACTATTTTTTTTTTGGGTCCGGCTTCCGGGCAGGTCTTGCTCAAATGCGGCAGCATCCAAGGACGGAACATGTATACAGCCATGCGAGGGGGCAGGCAGCCAGCATTTCACATTTCATTTCAAGTGTCATGTCATTTCATTTCATGTCCTTTCGTTTCATTTCATTTCATACATCTCATTTCATTTCATATCATTTCATGTCATCTCACTTGATTTCCTTTCATGTCCTCTCATTTCTTTTCACTCTTATTTCACTCTCATTTCACTCTCATTTCATTTCATTGTATTCCATTCCGTCCCATTCCATTTTACATATATATATATAAGGACGTTTTTTACGATTGCCGGAGGGTGACACGAACGAACAAGCTACGCCCTGGAACCAGCGCGCGTCGGCCAGCACGTCGCCATAAGGTGGCATGTGGCATGCGTCGCCGCCGGGTTTGCCGGCGGGGAGCTCGAGCAGGCGGGCTCGAGCAGGTTGGCGCCAAATGCGCCCTGGGCGGCGATCGCGAGCAGTTGGCCCCAGCAGCGTGCGAACGCCCCAGCCGCAGCCTTGCGCTGGCCGGCTGGGCCGGCAACGGCTTTTCCACGTGCAAGCGGGAGGAAATCCTCAGGCCAAGCACGGCAAACCGGCACCGGCTAGCGGCGAGCTCCGGTTAGGTTGTCCGCCGCTTCCTCCCGTCAGCTTCGCGGAGGGCTTTGCCAGGCTCGACGTCAGCGCCGGGCCGGCTAGCTCCGTTCGGTTGCGCGGGGGATATCAGCGTGACATCAACGGCGACCTGGGCGCTCCCAAAAGCCGGCAGGCCATTCGCGACGACCTCCATCTGGCGGCCATCGCTTAACGGCACATCAAGGCTGAGGTCGCGGAGGAAAACATCGGTCACGACACGCGCCCCACCCTCGCGGCACACGCGAGCCGCAGCACGCTCGAAGGGGAACGAGCGCCGCTTCAGCACCCCCGCTGTGGGGCAGGCGGCTTTGTGGTCGCCGAGCTCGTCTGCCGCAATCTGTCGACGACTGTGCAGGCTGCACGCTGCCATCCCCTGGCCATATCGCGGGTGCTTTTCGAGCACCGACCCACCTGCGAGGGCGAGCCAGTCTGGCACCGCAAAGCCAGCGGCGGCCGGCCGGGCATGGCCCCCGGCAAGCTCTGTCAACTCCCGCAGGAGGGAAGGGAGGCCGCCAGCCAGAAACAGGGGAACCAGCTATTCGCGCAGGGAGGCTGTCAGCCGGAGGCGGGGGAACCAGGAAAACGCTTGTGGTGCCGGAGGAGGCGCAGCGTCAGGGTCAAGCTCGGCAGGCGACATTTGCATTGGCACGGGTGAGGCGGGGGGGCTGCGGGAGGGAATGCCACTGGACAAATTCCGGATCCCAGTCGGGCTGCCAGGGCACATGGAACAGCGCGCAGGAGATGCGCGTCATCCGGGCATGCATGGCCACACACTCACCGTGGCACACGACAGCCGGACCAAAAACACGCACTGTTCTCACCGATGCCGCTTATTTAGCCCGGGCGCGCCACCCCGGAAGCGGAGTGTTTATACTGGGCCCGCCTCCCAGCTGTGCTCCAACGCGCCCTGTGTTTCGTTGTGTTTTTGGTGGCTCTATCGGGCGCGCCGAACCAGCGAGAACCACAACCGGGGGGCCCATGACGCTGGAGGCCCATGGCGCCGGGGCCTCAAGCTCCCTGCGCCAGGTTGCTCAAATCTTGTTTTTGCTGGCGTGCAACATTGTCCCTTGGGTACCGGCAGGACTTTCTGAGGAATGCAATGGAACCAAACCACACGAAAAAGAAAAAAAAAAAAAACAAAAATAAAAACGTGGCTCTTGCTGCTCCTCTGCGCGTACCCTCGGTTCAATTACGCGACAGGCGTCCTCTTGTCCCTTCTCCAGTCTGTCCAGGCTGCTGGTCGCGATCAGTGTTCTTTCGGTGCCGGCGCCTGCCAAAGTGAACGGCCCTGTGCCTGCCCCTGTGCCCACCCCTGTGCCTGCCCCTGTGCCCGGGGTGGCTTGCCTTTCTGCTGAACTTCCTGCGGCGGCGCGGCGGCACGCTTCGGCATCCCCTGCAGCATGCGGCAGCCGCACCGGTTCCGGGCCTCGCCTAACAGTACTCCGTGCAGCGTCCTTGGCGCCCGAAAGCCCCTGCTCCGCCCGGCCCGGTTTTGGGCATAGATGGCCGCGTTCCCTCGCTCCTGGAAGCGGACGACCCCGAAGCCCGCCCTCTCGCAGGAAACTCCCCCGCATGCTGCTCCATCGCAAAGCCGGATGCCGCCCGCACCAGTTCGCCCTCTCCACCCGGGCTGGGGCGGACTTGCTCGTCCATGCCTTGGCTTCGGCCGAGCTCGATCCTGAGGCTACAGTGCTTTTTGTGGATGGGGTTGGTGCCTTTGAGACCGTGTCACGGCGGGCCATGCTAGAGGCGCTGCGCGCCTTTTCGGGGCTAACCGTTCGTCCGTTCCAGGCCTTGTGGCATGACTTTGAAGGCGCAGCAATCTCTCAGGCCGAGGGGGAAAGGAGGGAGACAATTTGATGCCGGCCCTTTACTCCCTTGGCGTACTCCCTTGGCGTGCGGAACGCGCTTGCGGAAGTCCAAGCTTGTTAGAGCCCAAAGAGTTGCTGTTGGCTTACCTCGATGATGTTTACTTCGTCGCCCAGCCCGGCCGCACCCGCTTCCTTTTTGATCGGTTGTCTGAGACTTTGTGGACTTTGCCTGCATCCGCCTGAGCCATGGCAAGATGCGGGTCTGGAACGCTTCTGGCCGGGAGCCTCCTGGCGAATTTCCTGTTGGCGACGATCCTGTGTTTGTCGGATCGCCTGCCTGCAAGGGGGCCTGCGCCCAGCAGGGCCTCCGTGTGCTCGGTGTGCCCGTCGGCTGTTCCCAGTTTGTCGTAGCTCAGCTCGACGCCCTCGCATGCTCTTTGCTCGTCTTCCCACCTTGGGGGAGGCTTCTTGGCTGCTGTGGCTGTTCTGCTGCACTCTGTGGTGCGACCGTTTGCTCCCACCTGCACGGCAGTGTTCGCTGCTGCCCATGACCTCGCTGTTGGGGACTGTTCAGGCAGGCCCGTTGCCTTCGCAGGCGTTGGTTGCCTCTTCGGCTTGGTGGTCTTGGTCTGCGTTCTGCGGCCGCCGTCGCCCCCACTGCGTATTGGGCGTCTTGGGCCGATAGCTTGCTTGTTTTGGAAGGGCAAACGTCCTGCCCCTCTTGAGCCTGCCTGCAGCCGCGGCGGCCCTCGTGCTGGCAGACCCGAGCGACCCCGGATGTTTTGCCTGGCGCTTTGCCGGCCGCGCGCCCCAATGATGCTGACAACTTGTTTCCCAGGAGTCGCAGCAGGGGCCCTTCGCTGGCCGTGTTCTGACCGCTCCCCACCAGCCCTGAGCTCACCGCCCCATCGCACCTTTTCGCCCGCCCCGTCCTGGCAGGCACGATGAGGGTTCACTTTGCACACCCTCTGCCTTCCCAGCCCAGATTGCCAAGCGCAACCTCGCTGTTGCCAAGCCGCATGCTTGTCGCAATGCACTGTCGTCTTCCTTTGCCCCTTCAAGGGCGCCGTCTATGGTTGTGAACGCCCCGCGGATGCGCTTGGCGACCATGTCGCTGCTTGCCCACGCTGACTGGCCAGGGGCCAAACTAGAGTCGTGCGTGGGGCCGCCGGCTCCGAGGGCCAGGTCGTGTTCCAGCAGTGGCTGGCGCACACCAGTGTGCCGGAAGTCGATGCCGCCGATCGACGGCGGCTGGACGGGAGCACGGCTTCGGGCGTTGCGTTGTGTTTGTGATGCCACACTTGTTTCGCCCTTGGGCCGCGAGGGCCCGGCACACCTGTGCGGCGTTGCGCACGGCAGAGCAACGCAAGCTCGTTGCCTACCCGGAGCGCACTGCCTTTGCGTTCTCGCTTGCGGGGTCAGGCGGGCGCTGGGGTCGGGACGCCGTCAAGCTGGTCGCCAACCTCGTCCGGGTTCGAGTGCGGAGCGCCGCCGTCGCGTGGGAGCGACGATGGTGGAATCTCTTTCAGTTGCCGTCCAGTCGGCGCTGCGGGGTCGTTGCTCAGCTTCCGCCCGCGCCATTGGGGATTGGAGCCGAGAAGGGGCCGCCGCTCGAGCATGTGCTCGAGCCGGCGGGCATTGACAGGCCCAGCCGTTCGTTTTGCGGAAAACGGCATGTGGGAAAACATTTTGCAGTCGCTAAGCAGGGCTTTCTGGGGGGATGCAGACCTTTTGGCGGAAAAAGGCGCGGTAAAAAACATATAGCAACCTCAGACCCGTGAATGTGCGCTGTGTGGGGCTTAAGCGTCGACCTAATCCCGCGGTGGAAAGGATTTGCATGCGTCATGACAACAGGTCGAGCGACGAGCGAGAAAACAAAGACAAACAACCACAGTGTGAGAAAATTACGACCTAATTTCAAGAAGCAGCAAGCAGTCATATTCTGGAATTGCAGCACGGACGGGAGTTGTTTTGGTGGCTGCCGCTGATGGATGTATGCTGCCGGCTTTGCACACTGGCAGCGAGGCCCTGGTCAGTGGGCTGATGTGTTTGGAAAGGAACATGCACATACATCACGTAGTTGCATATTCAACACGCGGGCTTCGTGGGAAAGGCGTGCGCTTTGAATTGATGTGTTTGCGGTGGACTTGTCGAAGCCGACCCCCGTTTGTGTCAGGGCGCTGTCCTGGCGGCCTTGCCTGAGGCAACAGCTGCAGAGATTAACGTGGCGAACTCAGGACTTTGAAGAGTGACTGCGTTAATGGGAGCCCATGTAAGCATGGGCATCTTTAAAGGGGAACTCGCCCCAAAAACCCAGGGAGATTTTCCAGAGTCGGCATTTGTCAGGGCAGGCTTGGTTTGGGAAGGAGGCTCAACTCCAAGCCAGCAGTTCCGGGTGCAGCCCCAGGATCGCGTAGTGGCGTCCCACCATGACTTGCGGATTGGGCGCCAATTTTGAACAGCACAGCTCGGCTAATTATCACATCAGATGATTCTTGGTATGCTGAACTTGTCAGCCAAACCAAGCAAAGGTACCGCCCGAGTTTGAACCCAGTCTGCCGCGCTTTGGGAAGCTCAGCGTGGCTGAGGCCTTTGATGCGGAAGGCCAATCACTTTTAGTTTGGGGCACGGCGCTCAGAACTGGGGCGCGCAGTAGCCAGCGAAGCTCACGATTCATTTGGAAATAAGTTTTGCCACTGTGTCAGGTGTTCTCACATGTTTTGTCAGTTTTTTTTGGGGGGGTTTGTCGTGAAGGAGGGAGCACTGCTGTTTTGTCCTCGCGGTTCCGGATATTGTCTTTTGCAGGTTAACACTGATCACAACCATCACATATTGGGCAATTCGAAAAACAAATTAATCCCGTAAATGGGATGATGCTAAGCTCCTTCAAAAGCGGCCGCCATCTTTTTTGCAGGCGCCCATCCACAGTCTTTGGAAAGCACGGCAACCAACTTCACATGAAGAAACGTCAAGCGGCCGACCGTCGCGAAATTCCTTTGCCGTTTCTATGCTGGACTGTTGAGGCGGCACACGCGCCTCACTCACCATACATGCACACAACCCACCGCCTTGCTACGAGGAGGCAAACGGCAAATGGGTCAATGGATCAGCGAATAAACCGGCAACTTTATGCAGCACATGCGAAACGATAAATACACAAATCGATGTCCATTGTTTAATGACTCGACCCTGGATGAGTGGAAGACACGATGAAACTGCAACCATACGGGTTGACTGATAGACAAGCAGACAAGCAGACAAGCAGACAAGCAGACAAGCAGATCAATACTAAACAGCAAGCACATTTACACCTAAGACGGTGAGTGAATCAAAGTTGGAACGCATCAGCTGGAGGTTCTGCATGCAATTTTGGTGAAAGCACCGGGGAGTAACACATCAGTACATGACAATTTTATCGAGGCAATGCACCCCAAAGAATTTGACCTCCAGAGGCCAAGGTGTCGTCAAGGCGCTTCATGGCGGGTAGAGGCTAGGATGCGTTGTGCGGTGGTCTGTGTGGGATAAGATGCATGTTTTTTGCTGTAGGGGTGCTCGTGCATCCTTTCAAGCTTGGCATGGCGAAGCATAAAGCAGGCCCTGCCAATTCCCGCGCAACGCTGCGCAAGCAACACTGTTGTTGCATTGCAAAAGGCTTCTCTGCTTGCTTTGTCGCCACTTGCGAGATCAAGCCGTGGGACGGCCGTGCAAAAGTCTTTCAACAGCATGTGGTGTGGGGGGCAGGCACAACTCATGATGCAAGCCTGCATCCTCTGCAGCCAGCCGCTTTTAGGGTTTTGCAGAAATTCAAAGTTGCATGCCGCAGTGGATGAGAAAGCAGTTGAAACACACATCGCCATGAATTTTAAAGAAGAAGTGCCCACACAAATGGTTGGTGGTTGCACACGCCCTTGAAAACACGACACATGATAGTGGCTGCCACGCTGCCTGTGTGCCGAAACAGGGTGGTGGCAACCCCCTGCCGCGCAGCTATGGTCCAAGCTTAGGGTTTTGGCGCCCCTGGCAGAGGATGGATTCTTGGCTCACAGGTGTGGGCGTTTTTCGGGGATTTGACTTGGGGGATTTGTCCCCGAAAAGCCCTCAAGCCAAAGGATTTTGCGTGCTATGTCCTTGACAGACCGAAGTGAGAAGAATCGGAGTCTTAGTGGCGACATGTTGCTGACATCATGGCATAGAACTGTGCCCGGGGACTGAGGCGGGTGAAGTGCTTTCAGCGGACACCGTATGTCAAGCTGTCCTTGATGAAGTCCGCAACGTGGAAGTGATCGATGTGCACACGCACCTTTTGCATTTTGCCTTCAATTTGGAGCTAGCGCTGTGCTGAGAGTGCGCCTTTACTCACTGAGAGGTGGGTAGTTTGCAGCAGGTGGCTGTCTTCCAAGGCCCCCATCCCATGGGAAGTTGATGCTCTGGGGCATTGATGAGCTTCTGACATACCACTACCTGGTGCAACTTGTCTTTAATCCCGGACGCTCAGTGCCCCTATTCCTTTGTTGGGCGGATTGCCCTTAGAAGTCAACTACCCCAAAAAACGTGCAACTTTTTGCTCCCACGGCCACTGGGCTTGTGGGAAATTGTGGCACGAGCTTCCAGGCATTCTGAGTCCTTGTTAGGATGCCAGCTTGCCCTGTTGGTATCCCCGTTTGTTGCGGGGGCAACGTTGCTTCGGGCATGGCGTCCTTGGTGCATTCATCCTATGGCAACAACCGGTTGTTGCAATCTATGTTTTTGGTTCTTGCGCCGAGCAGTGTGCTCAGTTGCCTCGCTACGCTGCGCACCTCTGGGCCCATAAGGTCTGAGTATTTCATGGTCGCGCCGGCGGAGGTCACGCACGACAACTTCTTCGCCAAGAGCAAGCAGGGGCAAGCGGATTTGGCGCCCCTGCCCCTAGGGAGGGGCACGCAGACCGGCAACCACTTGCTCACAAACATCAGTGCGAGCTTGCTAAAAAGGCATCAATCTTGAGGCTCCTCCTTTTTTGGGCGTCGTTGAGGACATGGCGATGTGCCCAGGTTGGCCTCATTGGGCAAACCAATGGCATGCAACAGCTGGTATCTTTCTGAGGTCTCATGCGTTTGGGGTTGAGGCACTTGCATTCCCCACGTGTAGGCAAACCATTTGATATGCTCAGGGCCTTGTTTGGCGCACTTCCATCAGGTTCGGCGACTGCTGGCACAGTTTTTCTCATCGCAGAGGGGTGGCAAGCTACGCCGGGAATCGATTCCAGAAAGTTGTAACCATGGGTGTTTGGAGGGTGACTCTATAAAGACCCGAAACAAAATCGGCTCGTCTCAACCCCCATCCCCCCCCCCCCTCCCCCAACAAAAAAGAAAAAGAATACAGACAGCATGCTATCCTTTGTGGCTTTCCTCTTTTTAAACATCAGCCAACAGGCAAGTCCCCCCAATAAAAAGCACACACAGGAAGCAAAAGCAGCTACAAACACAACAAGCAACCAACACCCCCAAGCGGCCACCGCCCGAAAACCGGTTGGCATCAAAGCCTCCACTGCCCAGCTGCGCCCGTGTCGAAGGTGTGGCGGGGCCTCTTCCTAGAGCGGTCGCCCATCTCGGAGGCGTGCCAAGGGGTGGTCACCACGCTCCAGAAGTCGCTCGCTCCATCCGCATGGTGCGAGTGGGAGGATCCGCGTTTTCTTTCTTCTTCTTCTTTTTGTTTTTGTTTTGGTTGTTTTCGGGGTAGGTGGAAACCAAAGGGAAGCCAGCCCGAAGGAGTGGCTAGTTTTGAGGAAAAGCAAACATCGTTTCCTTCTTCGGTTCTTTGCAAAAAGGATTGGTCCAAGGCATAAAGTGGGCCCTTTTAGATGGTGTTTAACTTCTCAGTTTTGTAAACAAGTCCAGTAAAAGGGGTTGGATAGCTCAGCGAGGTCCCAGTTCAGCATTTGCTCGCCAAAAGGGGGTGGCGATGAGTTTAGCTTGGCAATGGTATGATTTCAGCAAGCGGGGTTCGAAAAATGGGGGGGCCACTTCAAGCGAGCATTCTGAGAAATCTACCTGGCCTGGAGGCCTGCCGAAATCTTGCGAAGCATGCAGAATTCCCCATGCGCGATGTTTTCGCCCCCCATCTTTGCGCACATGCAGCATCAACACCCTCAACAGCAAGTCGATGGACCTTGAATCTTGGAACGTTGGTCCTTGCCAAACAAGTCTTTGCCGTCTCTCCATGCAAGATGCCGGATCATTTTTCTTGCAAAGCAGAGGCCTGACATTCGCGCATGTTCAATGTGGTATGCCCTGGCCCAGCACACCAAGTACCTCAGGCACGGAAATCGAAAGAATGCATGGAGGCGAGTAAAGCAAGTCCACGGAAGACAGCCAGTAACAGGGTTAGCAAAATCAGAAGCAGGTGTCAGTTCCCTTAGACCTGCCAGGAGTCCACGAGCTGTCGAACCTACCAGAAACAAGCAGAGTGGACCGAGCGACAGGTGTGTGGTTCTTTACACATTTGTGGGTGAAAACCCCCCAGTGAACATCCCAATCACCACTAAAATCAACTAAAATGGGTGGTGCACCTACCCCAAAATGGTACCATTGGTTTTGGACCATGGCCATTTGTTTGAAACCAACAAAGAAGACGCCGAGTGCAGGGCCCCGTGCCTAGCCCCCAGCCTAGCCAAAAAACCCAGGTTAGGCTTGGAGAAGCAGCTCGCAGAGCGAGACCTCACTAGCATCCGGCAGTGGTTCGAAGCCCAGCGTCTCGCGCCTTGGCTTTGGAAGTCGGAGAGGTGTATGGGGCCCAAAATCTGTGGTGTCCTTTTGGTCTTGTTATCCGTAAGCCACAACCCATTTTTGGGGCGCCCGCGCGAAAAACAAGGACAACATTTTATTGCATTTTGGCGAGGGTTGAGCGTTGTGTGGAGTCAATGAGTGCTTTGGACTCGGGGACCTCCCCGTGTTCGGAAGTTAGGCAAGGTTTGCAGTGCAGAGCAGCGCCCAAGTTTGTCCCGCACGGTTGCACCTGCTTGTCAGCGGACGCCTGGCACTTGCCGGGCAAACATGATATCATTGTTCCAAGATCATTGAACGTGGAGGGCAGTTTGAGGCGGCAGTTTGAGAGGCGGCCATGCTTTCGAATCCGCTCAGCGCTATTCATGCATTGGGGCTGATCGTTGCTTTCCGCCGAAAGACCCTGCGACTGGTGCTTGAAACTTCACCTCCCAGCGCGCATGGAATGTTCGAAACACTTTGGTTTTTGACTTGTGCGCGTTTGGAAGCGCACCGTTTGCGTGAAGACTTCTGCAAACTGTGGGGAGGTTGCAACACTTAAACAACACTGTTTGTCAAAAGAGGACGGCGCAGCCCACTGCCCGCAGATGGTTTGATTTTGTTGGACAGGCCAACGTTGCTGAAGTCTTTTGTTTTTTTTTGTTTGCTTTTAGCCGAGCACAAATCAGCTCCCACAGATACCAGCCCTTTACCGATCCTAAATGAGCCCCAAAGCAACCAAAGACCCTTCCTCATTGAGACCTAGGCCGGCCTGAAATCCACAACTGCCTAATATGCAGCCCTAGTCCGAGCAAGGCCAACCTAGCCAACTAGGCCGGTAGGCTTGCCCTCAACCCAAGGCTGCAGCCTGCTTGCTTCAGTCAG